AAGTCATGAATACACACCATCAGATTAGCAACAATGAATTGTCTTAGTCATATGAACTTTAGTTGAGGTGTCTCCCATAAGGCTATGGAGATTACTGGGGCCTCCAATTAATGAGCAATAGCTGATTAAAGTTACCAGGTGGCCACTTTCTTTTTTTTTTTTTTTTCTTTTTTCTTTTTTGTCTTTTTTATTTTTATCGGTACCAGGGATCGAACTCACAACCGCCTGCTTGCAAGGCAGGTGCTTATGCCACTGAGCTAAATCCCCAGCCTCACACTTTCTTATTTATCAGTTGAAGTCCTATCCAATATCTCCTTACCCCAAGGGATTTTGTTAAACCAATTCTAGCATCATTTTGATCAGCTGGCAACCTAGGTGGAAGCAAGTTTTTTAAATCTACACCCCAAGTAAACCTTGATTAAATGGTCTAAAAATGCAAAAGAAGAGGAAAAAAGATTGTTGAGCTCAAATAAAAAGGAACAGCTGTTTACAGAGCAGGCAATTGGACAAACATGGACAGACAATCCATATAACGACTGGACAACAGACAACAGGTATATAGACTGACAAACATTACAAAATCAGAGTACACTCAAATATATTTGGCCAATTTGAGCTATAATAAATAGACTAGTGTGAATCTTTTTGTAAATCAATTACAATTGCTCCTCTTGAAACAAAAATAGCAGAAAAGGAACCTAATTTATGACTAATCTGAGATAGGTCAGAGAGGGAAAAAGGAGCATGAATATGAACTAATCCCTCGGGACTAGCCTATAGATGGCTGCTGCTGGTCCCATGATGAGGGACCACAAGATGGCGACCATTGACCCTGTGACCTGTCACAAGATGGTGGTGCACTGTTGTATGGAGGAGGGCTGCAGGATGGCAGCTGTCCTCCACCTGAGCTGCAGCAAGATGGCTGCTGAGAACCATGTGGCTTGCTGGAATGCTGGAACGCATGAGACTGAATATGGTGGGCTGGTGGGGAAAATGGCAACACAGGGTAAGGGATAAAGAACCATCTGATGGAATAGGTGGCTCAGGTGGAGGGGACTGTGAAAGTGGTGACTGGGGAAAGAAACTAAGGGAAGGGTTAGAGGCCACTGGAGATGAGGAAGGGGGAGAAGATGGCACAGAGGCACAGAAACCTCCGGCTGAGACAGCTGTGGGATTTGGTCTGGGAAATACAGAGGAGGAGCTGTAAAGATGGGTCTGGTGGGGAGGGAGGGAGGCCTGATGGAGAAGAGTGAGCCTGAAGTGTGTGGGCCATTATACAAGACAGAGTGAGAGAAAGACACGTCCTCAAAGTGAAAAGGCCTAAAAAGGAAGAGTTTCTGCCAGCTTGCCACCATTGTGACAAAAGCATAAATAAAAGATCAGCTTTTTGGTTTTTATAGCCTTCTTGAGGCCAAGAACACCAAGGTTATGAACTGGGCACCTCAGAGGTGTGTTTTTCAGGGGACAGGAAGTGGTCCCCAAGACCGAATTATAAGTCAGCTGAGAGAACAGCTTCGCCTTGGGATGTAAGAGCTTTAGCTCCCCTCCAAGGAACGTGGAAGCTGTCCTGGGTCACACCTATCAAAAGAGGTCTTCACCTGTTTTGAAAGAGGTCGTCACTTGTTTTGAAAGTGTGACACTGAAAGTCCCAACTCCCATTCTCCTTTGCTGGTCACTGAAGAGTGCAGGATGGGGTCCCAGGGGACAAAAATAACAGTTTTGCCTCAGGCTGTCTGGCCTAAGGAGTGTGAAAACTGTTATCTCTGTCCAGGGATGGCAAGGGTAGGTTTTCTCACATAAGCTTGTGAATTTTAGGAATGGAAACAGAAAACCCCATGCGGCAGCTCAGATGAGTGAGGAAGGTTGCTGTTACATGCGGGTCGCAAGTAGGTGGTTCATAGGCAGAGTAGCTTGAATTGGGAGTGGTTTCCAGGAGCTAAGGCACTCTGCCTTCCCAAGTCACAGCACCATTATGAAAGAGTTTTCTGGTGCAATAGAGAAGCAAAAGTACAAAAAGAACAGGTTTATTGAGACGCGGACGTAGGAAGGAGCAAACAACCCATGGCAGCTGCATTTCCCCCTTCGGCCGGAATTTGAGGGGTTGGGACATATGTAACCTTTGAGCGGGGGTGGTGCTTAGGTGGGCATTGATGATGCACGAGGGGTTGATTGGAGTTTTCTTCATGCACACCAAGAAGGGGAATGGCAGTTAAGGCTGAGGAAGAAGCAGGAAGTGGTAAGCGTTCCCACTTTGGCCTTCTACCACATTAGACCACCGCCATAAAACATGCAGTAATTTATACTAGGGCAAGAACCTTTCAAGGGTTGTAGGAATTACGTGAGCAAGGGAAGCTGAGCTAACTGGGCGGAGAGCAAGCACCTCTGCAATATTCAAGGAGAAAAACACAAGAAAGACCAGTTTGCATAACTCAATTGGGACAGCATGTGAATGAAGTTAGAAGGTTGTTACTTCAATTTCTGATATGTAAACTTTAGTATCCTGGGAAGTCATAGCCTCTTATTTTGGGGCTTGTCCCCAGTTGACCTTCCAGGAGTTAACTGGTTCTGCCATCCTGCTGTGTTCTACAGGGAACACAATTTGAGAAAACAGGAAATTGTTATTTGCCCTTAAAGATCACTTATCAGTATCTTAGCTAGCCTTAATTGCATTATTTAGAACCAATTGAAGGGAGAAGGAAATAGCAGGAACTAGATGTGATGGCACATGTCTGTAATCCCAGTACTTAGGAGGCTGAGGCAGGAAGATTGCTGCAACTATTAAGTTCAGCCTGGACTACATACTGAGTTCAAGGCCAGGCCAGAATATGTATCAAGAATACAGCAAGACTCTATCTTAAAATTTTTTTAAAACATTTTGAAAGGAAGCAAAAATAATACATGTGTACAGTAACAGTTACACAAACAATAATTAAGAGTTGCCTTTCTTCTCCTGTTATAGTCTTAAAAGTTTCTCTCTAGAGGTGAAATGTTAGCTTATTATGTATCAGTTTATGTATATAAAAATGTGTGTACATATTTACATGTATTTATGTATCCAATTTATTAAACTTTATATTTTATTTCATTCTGAAAAATAGGTTATATTAGAAATTCTTGTACTTAGAGCTATAGTTTAACATTTCACTATTTTTCTTTAAATCCTTTTTTTGAAAGAAAAGATAATACAGCTGAATCCCTATTTTAAAAATCTACTGTTTTTGCAACTCTTTTATTCAGCAAGACTTTAAAGTTTTGTCTGTTTATGCATACATATCTCTCGTTTTATTTTTATATGATATTCTTTTAGTTACTTACCTGCCAACCCATTTTGTTTTGTTGATGATGTTTGTTTTGTTTGCCTTTTTAAACATAAATAGGAACATGTTATACATTCTATTCTTTACATCACTGTTTTCACAAAACCTCTTTAGGTTTAAATTATGTAATACTAAGAAATTTTATTTTGCATCTCTTCTCAACTTGATGTAAAAATTTGGAAAAAAAATTATGCTTTGGGACAAATTTGTAAGTCCTCAATGTCATGGAACTACAGAGAGATTTGTACAGAACATTTTGATGAATTCCATGTGTGTTTCAAAGTTTTAATATGTCTACCTTTGATATGTCACCCTGGTTTATAAATAATCAAATCAAGACAAATTGTAAACTAGCTTGATCTCTATTTCTGTGTCTGACTACTTTAAATATACAATTATGTAATATAACAAATATTTCTTTTTTCTTATCACTTCCTTCTTAATGCTTTGTTTGGAAGGTTTATTAAGCTGGTTTAGGTACATTAGTGTCAGATAAGCTTACTTTTCTTTTTTTATTGAATTTAGCAAGTCCTTAAGTACTTTAAGAATGGCAGTATATATTATCATCCTTTCATTTTTTTTCATGTTTAGATCTGCCAATATTTGATAGCATTTTGATCAATTAAGATTTATTGAATTATTTTAAGGTCTTAGCACTTTGCTGAGTATTATTGTATAAATTAACCGAAATATAAGACATTATCTTGATCCACATGAACATTAAAATTTAATTGAAAGAAAATAAAAAGATCATTAAACCACACTAAAGTGCTAATGGTATAGGGTGAGATTTGGATTGAATCATCTAAAAATTTGATTTTGAAAAGCAGAGAAAGGAAGATCTTATAAGCAAGAACTCAAATGTATATACAAAATAAGTGAAAAGTAAAGAGTTTAACCATTATGTACTAGCGGGTTATGTTTGGAGTAATGGGAAGTTAACTGGTAGACCCAGAGTATATCAGTAGTCCAGGAAGGATAGAGCTGATAAAGTGAACAGTAAGATGTCCATAACAATTGCAAGATAGTTAGATAATATGATTACTATTTTAGAAAGCTAAATAGATTAGAGCAAGGGGAAGGAGGTCAATTAGAAGGTTTTTATAGAAATTTGAGGAATTCAGTTTAGATATAATCAAAATATGTCTGTGCCCTTTTGTTCACTAATTCCATTTCTAAAACTTCCAGGAAAATATTACAAATGCTTAGTGTCTGAAAAAGCAGAGGACTAAATCAAAGCAACTTTTCTTTTTTCTTTCCTTCCTTCCTTCTTTTCAGTACTGGAGATTGAATTTAATACCTTTTGTAATGAGCTGCATGTTTCAGAGGGGCTTAGTAATAAAATTCCTGTCATACAGTTCATTAATTACTTTGATTTAATCAAAATTTCTTTGTTAAATTTCTTTGTCTTAATATTTCTTCATACGCATAGCTTGTGTCACTTTTTCAAGTGTAATTTTATAGTTGAAACCAAAAACCAAATTTTACTATAAGCTGTTTATTTGAAGAGTTCACATAGCTAGCAACAATACAATTTAGCTGGAAGCTCCTTTTATTTTGTTTTGTCTTATCTCAGTTTTCACTCTTTTTTCAAGTAGAATAAAAAGAAAGAAAAAATAATTGAAATGAGGAAACACTTTAATCCTACTTTTCTGTGGTTTTTTCCTTCTTCTTCTTTCCTAGGTTGCTTTCTGGTTCTAAACAGATGAACATTTTAAGAAAAGCAAGGTCTTACATAGAACAGGGAGAGTTTGATGAAGCGGTAAGTACCTGAGCCTTGTGGACAGAAACTGCTGATTAACATTTCCAGGTATGGTAATGAGGAGCAATTGGGCAGCCCAGGGAGCTTTTCTGAGGAGGTGCATTAGCCAAGAGCCTATTCCTTTTTATTTTAGATAATATTATAGATACATTTGGGGAGAGTGAGCAGTAGAAATGAATATTATTTCCATTTTAAAAATGATAAAATAACATTTCAAGTTACTGTAATCCTCTTTTGTACAATAATTTAGAATACCACTTATTTGTCACACCGTCAGAAGCCTCATACTGAAGCTTTGACTCTTCTCAGCTCTTATCCTACTGTGATTTTCGTTAATTCTTTTTGTTAAGTGATCGTATGAAGTCAGGAGCAAGTTCTATTTTCATTTTCTCAGATTACCTAAAAAATTACTACTCTATGTGTTTCTACTGGTTTGCATTTATTATGGTTTTAAAATGACAAGCCAGTCTCCTTAGAAATATTAAGCCACATCAAAGAAATAGACCTGAGGATCAGTGGAACAGATTACAAGATACAAACAAATACAAAGACACTCGGCCACCTGATATATGACAAAGGGGCTAAACATGTTCACTGGAAAAAGGATAGCCTCGTTAATAAATGGTGTTGGAAAAATTGGCTTTCCACATGCTAAAGACTGAAACTAGACCCATGCCTATCACCATCACTAAACTAAAGTCAAAATGGATCAAAAATCTAACTATTAAAACAGAAACACTAGATCTATTGGAAGACAAGATAGGTAGAAAACTTGGAGACATAAGCATAGGCAGAGAATTTATGTTTGTTTGTTTGTTTGTTTGTTTGTTTGTTTTTTATTGGTACCAGGGATCGAACTCTAGACTGCCTGCTTGCAAGGCAGGCACTTATGCCGCTGAGCTAAATCCCCAGCCCCAGCAGAGAATTTATGAACCAAATGCAGACTGCACAGAAAATACTTAAAGGATCAACAACTGGGATCACATCTTATTAAAAAGTTTTTGCACTTCAAAAGAAATCACCAACAAAAGGGAAAGAAAACCCACAGAATGGGAAAGAATTTTAGCCAACAATCCCTCAGACAAAGGACTTATATCCAGAATATAATAAGAATTGAAAAACATTAAGCCTCCCAAAATCAAAGACCCTTTTCAAAAATGGGCATTTGAGATGAACGCATAATTCTCAGATGAAGATATATAAATGGCAAATAAATACATAAAGAAATGTTCACCATCACTGGTCATTCGAGAAATGCAAATTAAAATAGCACTGAGATTTCATCTCACTCTGAAAAAAATAGCTGCCATCAAGCAAACAACTGATAGTAAATGTTGGCTAGGCTGTGGGGAAAAAGGAACACTTCTGCACTACTGGTGGGAGTGTAAACTAGTGCAACCACTATTGAGATTCGTCAACAAACTAGGATTAGAGGTTCTATTCCCCTCCTGGTTATTTTCTCAAAAAATTTTAAAAGATCATGCCACAGTGATATATGTGTACCCATGTTTATAGCTGCACAATTTATAATAGCTAAATCTTGGAAACAACCAAAATGTCCATCAACTGCAGAGAGGATGAAAAAGATGTGGTACTTTTATACAATGGAATATTACTCAGCATATAAAAGGGACAATCTTGAGGCCTTCATAGGTAAATGGAGCAACTTGAGATATCCTCATAAGTGAAATAAATAAGTCTCACATTTGTAAATATCATATTGTCTCTCTAGTGTAAAAAAAATTATAAAGACTGAAAAGAGTAATAAGATCCAAAATACATAACAGATATTATAAAAATGAAAGAGAAGGAAAGTGCTCGAAAGGATATAGCAATATGGATGTTCAAGTGTGTAGGATAAATGACCATATTACTAAATTTCCATTAGATCATTGAACAGAATGGTCTGCATTGTCAATGTTTGAGTGTCCACTTTTTAAGCTGTGATTTTGTAACTTGAACAACTATTTGTAAGAGGACAACATGTAACTTATCAACTAGTAATTTCTTAATGTTAATATTTTTCTTTGAAATTCTGTATTACTTCTACCCTTTTTTCTGTTTTGTCTTGTTTTTTTCTTTTTCTTTAAATAAATAAAAAAATATTAAGCCACATTAGTGATGTTTTATAACACATGCAAGTAATCTGGGAAAGAAATGAAATATATATGGTTATCCACATATACCACACACACACACACACACACACACACACACACACACACACAGATTGAGACCTGAATTAGAGAAACTTCATCTCCTTTATTGTGTCAACTGAAGATTATTCCTATAAAATGAATTATTTTAAAATACTACATATATCATAGATTATTTCCATTAAAATTTTCTTTGTTTTATTATTGTGATCAAAAAGTTCACTTTATTCTGGAATATTTCTCATCTTTTGCAAGGCCCTCAGACAATTAAAATCTATTTTTAATCCAACATCTCTAGTCAGTTACCATTATAATTTACTATAATGGTTTGACTGTCAGGAACTTTACTAATTTTCTTTCTTTGAAATTTAGGTTTTCTTTCTCTGTGTAAGATATATATAGATACATAATTTTTTCTTTTCCCTCCATAGATCTCCCTTTGCAAAGAACTGATTCATCTTGCATTGAAAGGATTGTCCTATTATCATACTTATGATAGATTCTTTTTGGCCACCAATGTTGTTCTTGGCTTTGTGGGATGGACTGTTTATGCTTCTTTGTTGATCATCAAGTCTTGTTCCAACCTAACAAGATGTGTTAATAAAGTTAAGGTAGGTTCAGAAAATATAATGAAGATTCAAATGATGGTATAAAAAATCTCTAAGATTATGGAAAGAAATCTATTCAATCATATATTAGGTTCATAGAATGTATAAATCATTATATTGAGTTAACTCTTATCTTTCATTTGCCTTGTATTGTACTAGATCTTTTTTCTGTTATCTCTATTTCTTCAGTTGGTAGGAAGATGTATTTATAATATTGACCTTATAACTTACCAGAACTATAATGATATCTATATAAATAATTTAAATTCTCCTATAGTCTTGGTGATGTTCATTTTTCTGTTCTTTTTTATAACTACTAAACATGTTATAAGTGTTCCATATCTTTCTTTACACATAACCAGAAAACTGCTTCAAAGCAATATGCTTGATTTTATCTAATATTAAGTTTGGGAATTAGAAAATAATAAAGTCACTTGCTCACCATATGTTTTTTTAAATAATGTATATGTTTTTTCTGTATTCTTCTTTCAACTTTGAGAAGTATCTCAAAGCTTACAAGTTTCCAGAACATTTTATATTTATTTTCACTTAAGAGTGCATCCTTGGTTTACTATACTTTCAATGAAAACAATTTTTTAAAATTCTCTTTGAACAGGAAACTATACTATATATGTTGCCTTTACTATATTAAAACACATCACTCTTAAAATATGTTGCTAGCCATCATTTACCAAGAAGACTATGTCACTTCCATTTTCTTTTTTCATTCTCTCTTAATAACTATTGCCATGTCCAAATCCCTTAAAAAGTAATATAGTCTCATAATTTCTATAATTTCTAATAGTGCTCTGCCAGTACTTCCAGTCTCATACTTTATACTTTATTTTTCTGTCTCATAATGAAGAACATTAGTATTTGTTTAATTTTTATAAGGTTTTAATATGTCTTAACTATTTTGCTCCAAGTAATTTTAATTCTTTGAATGTATGTGTTTAAAATAGGAATAATTTCCTACATAGCAGGAAGAGACACAGAAAGGATTATTTTAGTAATGGATATATCTAGGCACTTTGCTGAGTTCTTGAAATATATTTTGCCATTTAACACTCTTAACAGTACTAGAAGTAAACATTACATTTCTGTTTACAAAAGAGGAAACTGAAGCAGAGGGGCATTAAATATTTTGTTAAGGCCACTTGGTTACAGTTTGAAGGACTGAGATTTACATTTGGAGCAGTCTTGTACCAAAATTCTTTTTCAAATTTGTCCTGATGTCTCAGGTTACTGAGAAAAGATATGATGTTTTCAGATTGGTATATCAACAGGTTTCATAAGTGATACTTCTTTGTTATTCATCAATTTGAATGCAGTCAGTGTTTTATTGAGGGTACAGCTCAATGCTAGATGCTATATAGAAGATGGCAAACCTTTTTGAGACCAAGCACCCAAACTGCAACCCAAAACCCACTTATTTATCACAAAGTGCCAACACTGCAATTAAATCTGAATACCTGATGCTCAGTTGCTGGGGTGGGTAATGCTGGAGCAAACTGGCTCGAATGACAACAGAGGGGGCTCTGTGCCATAGGTTTGCCAGCACCACTAGATAGGACATGGTGGATTTTGCCATTAAAGAGCTTCAAATTAAATAAAATAGATAAGAAATGTAATTGCACATTGCCTTACTGGTCTATGCTACACTAACTACATTATACAAGACAACCTTAATATATGTTAAGTGTTTGAGGTAATACAAAGACTATTATGTTTTAAATACAAGAGAATTCATTTTAAGTAGCAAAACAGTAAAAAATGAGATTGGTGGCAGTTTGATAGACTATAGAGAGAAGAAGAGAATTAAAACAAATTGATACATCAAAGGCAGAACTGAGAAAACATACTACTCTGCATTAATAGTAAGATTTATGGAGTCTCCACTGTCCTAGATACTTTACTGAAGTTGCTCAGTTAAGGTTAACAGTACTTAGACTGGATTCTTTAATATGGATGGGAGAATTTAGGCTGAGAGATAACATGTTTTCTTCAAGAACACACAGGTTTTAAAATACAAAACTCATATTTTCTAACATTTAAATTTGTGCTCTTTCTTTAACATGCTACCTTTAATACATTTGGGTGGGTTATGGAAGTTTTGTTTTTTTTTTTTTGAGGGGTAAGTGATAATATGGTAAGTGATAATCAGAGGCCTCAAATGCTAGACTGTAGTCTTTGAACCATACTTAGTGAAAACTTGGTGTATCACTTAGACCTCAACAGGAAAACAGAACAGGTAGGGGATATTAAGAGATACAGTGTAAGGAATTGACTTTTGTTATTTAGGCAAGTGCTAAATCCATCAGGAGGAACAGGCTGGAATAAACAGCCAGGAGCTGAAGCTGTACTCTGGGTAGAACTTATTTAGGGAAGCTTCAATTCTCCTTTTAAAGCCTTTCAACTGATTGAATCAGACCCACCTAGATTATCTAGGATAATATCCCATTCTTAAAACAACTGATTATGGATTTTGATTACATTGTTAGGATACTTTCACACTAACACTTAGATTAATGTTTGAATAATTGGAGACAATAAGTGGTCATGTTGACCTATAAAGGTACAACAGACCGTTGAGGTTATTTAAGATATTTTGACCTTTGATTCTGCTTAAAACCATTCTGATTCCTCCTTAGTGAGAGTTTAAAGTCTTGGGAAGTGACATAATCTTAATAGTTCTATAGGAAGAATAATATGGAATAGTCTATAGCATTAACTGAAGGGAAGCGGGAAGAACAGTTTGAAGGTCAGATGGTGGCAGCTGTGCATATATTAGAATTGTGGTGGCACAGGAAGGCTGTGCAAAGAAAGTTATTAACCATAGTGGAATCATAAAGGATAAATAGAACAGCCCCAGAAGGAGAAAGAGGGAGAGAGACAGAAAGAAAAGCATTTGCAGATAGAACGCATGTTCTCAGTGAGTAGAGAGGAATGTGGTATCTTCTTGGAAGAGCAACAAGTGGATACAGGGCCTGTAGAGGAAGGAGAAATGAACTTACAACAATTATCCTCCATTGCTAGATGAGGAAATCAAGCTTCAGAAAAGCTAATGGTTTACTCTAACTAGCAAATAGAACAGCAGCCTCAAAATTAGATTTGAGTCTGAGTCCAAAGCTTATGTCATGTCTACATGACTGTATCCTCCAGATTCTAGAGGTCATTTTTAATTCATTGCTATTATAGGAAAGTACAATGACTAGTCTCTTTTTTTTTTTTTTTTTTTTTTTCTTTTTCGTTTTTATCGGTACCGGGGATCGAACTCACGACTGCCTGCTTGCAAGGCAGGCGCTTATGCCGCTGAGCTAAATCCCCAGCCCCAATGTCTAGTCTCTTAATGTTCTACAGCTTCCCATAATTGAACTGTATATTTAATTTTGATATTCTCTTAAATTTTCCTTTGCTTTTGCTAGTTATACTGTCTTTTACTTTACAATTAGGTGTTTTTTACACATTTACTCTATTGTTTTCCTTTGTTCTCATGTACCTAGAAAAAAATTTAAAAATTACCCCTTAAATTATTGGGTCTCTATGTATGTGATTTAAATTCCTTGTATCTCCACTTGTATGATTTAAATTCCTTGAATGCAAGAATTCAGTACAGATGATAGCATACAGCGTGTGACTTAGTAAGTGTCCTTTGGATAGAGAAATATTCACAAGGCATAGTTCATTAGTTGTTTTTTGAGTGTCGGGGCAGGGAATCAATTCAAGATCAAGTGGAAAATATCCTCACTCTTATTTGAAGTCCTTTCAGTTTTACTGTCTTAGTAGAAAGAGCAGAATCTAATTCTTTATGGTGAAATTTCCTTCAAGTAGATGTCAATTCTCAATTTTGTGTCTATCAAAAGATTGAATAACTACACTATATTGTATTGACTCTAAATTTTCAAAAATTTTTTTCAAATACTCAACTAGAAGAGGGGGACAGTGCTAGGTATTAAACATGAGGCTTCACATATGCTAGACAAGTGCTCTACCGCTGAGTTATACCCTGAGTTATGCTCAGCCCTTCGTATCTTACAAACTTCATTTCTTATTATTTTACTTTTCTCAAAACAAGTCTTCAATTCTTATAATGAATAGGCTGCCTCACTCATCTTCAGCTTAGAGACTTTATCTAACAAGCTCTATTTTAGTGTTGCTAAATAGTTATGAGATTATTATTCCTATTTTATAGATAAAGTAAAAATAAGTCCCCAAAAAAGTTTTTTACTGGCTCATAATTCACACAGTGAGAAGGTATCAAATCCAGGAAGTGAATTCAGATCTGTCTACCTCTAAACTTTTAGTTACAATGCTGTTTTAGCCTTTTTTCTATGCCATAATTTATCCTTAATTCTTACTTTTAAATAACATTTTATGTCAGTAGGAAAGAACAATAAAAAAGTAAGGATCTCTTCATTTTCCTCTAAATTTCCCTATATCAAGAAGGCATTTCTTAATTTTCATTTTATTTAGTCTTAACTAAGAAAGCAAGGTGAAAACTTTAAGTAGAAGCAAAAGAACATCACCTTTCCATTTCATTTTGTTCTTACCACTTTCTCTTCCCTCCAAGGTTGTTTAACTTCTTCTAGAGTTCTTTATACTATTTATCCCTTCTCATACCTACTTTGTATCCTAGGAGTCTTCCTCGTAGTTATCAAGGCCTCCCCATAAATCGGTCCTTTTCTCTATCATTATAATGACTGTCTGTGTTCCTTTCACATGACCTACAGCATCCAATGGCCTGCCTAGACCATGAAGGCAATCACAAGGACTTGCACTGGGGAATTCCCTTGTGTCACAGGAGGTTAAGAAGAACAGATATGACTGAATGATCCTGCTGTGGTTGGCAGTGGAGAGAGAAGCATGAGCAGCATGTGAGATTGGAGCTTGAATAGATAGAAACATTAGACATAGATTAAGTCCCAAAGTTTATTATGAATTAAATAGGCTTTTGTGAACTAGCCAGAGAGCTCAGTCAACATTTATAAAATTATTTCTAAAAGTTTTTGCACAGGGGCTGGGGATTTAGCTCAGCAGCATAAGCGCCTGCCTTGCAAGCAGGCAGTCGTGAGTTCGATCCCTGGTACCGATAAAAAGGAAAAAGACAAAAAAAAAAGTTTGTTGCACATGAACTTTAGGACCTTTGTTCCTTTTAAGTTCAGAATTGCCTTATTACTACAAGTCCAGGATCTCCATCTTTTTCTTCTCCAATGTGTCTTCAAATGACAGTTTTTTTAAAAATGTAGTTCTTGTTACAACCATTGTTATAAAAATATATTTTCTTCATCTTATAAAATCTCTTTTTAAAACTGTTAGCCGTGGATTTGGAAGTATTTAAATAATTTGTTTGATTTTTCAGAAACCAAGCCATCTTCTGCCATGTTTTGTAGCTATTGGCATTTTAATAGCATTTTTCCTGCTGATTCAAGGCTGTCCCTGGACTTATTATGTATATTGTTTGTTGCCAGTGCCAATATGGTATGCAGTTCTAAAAGAGTAAGTAATATTACCTTATTTTTCACTTCAGTGACAGTTAAACCTGTATTTAAAATGCAATAGATTTCTGTAGCATAAGTTATCAGAGTGATTTATAATATTAAATCTCCAAACCCTTTCACTTCATTTATGAAACTGCAAAAATCTTGAATTAAAATATCGTGTTGCTATACCTTTCTTTTTTACTTCATTCATTACCTTGAGGTAGCAGTGACATTGTTCCTTTCTTTGTGCATCATTTATAAGAAAAACCTGGAATCAAAATAACATATTGAGTGGATGGGAGTTTAGCTCAGTAGCATAAACACCTGCCTTGAAAGCGTGCAGTTTTGAGTTCGATCCCCAGTACTGATTAAAAAAATACAAAAATAACATATTTAATATTGATTGTACAATGCCAAACATAACTTGCATTTCAGCTTGTTTTATCAGCTCAGATTTCAGGATGTCTTCATGTTTTCTGAAGAAATTTACATTTTTTCCATAAATTTTTGCTCCTCCATTGCTAGTTTTCTTTTCATGTAAAGTTAGATAAATGAAGTTTTATAGTTAGTCAACCCTAATACAGTAATATAAACTGACAGAGATTAGTCAATACTATCCACATCTGTTACAGTTCTACCTTTAACTACTTACTCACAAGTTGAACTTAAAATGTTTTTCTTACCATTGTAGAAAGATTCAAAAGTAAAGCTTTTGATTAAGTTTCAAGTACTTTAAAACCACTAAAATGTGGCACTAGTTCATGTTCAAAGGCAGCCAGAATCATGTTATAGAGCTTATTGGCTTTTATATTTGCACTTATAAACTAGCCTTTTTCATCAAAGTATTCTCTCAGAAAACTACTTCTAAAGAAGACCAGAGAATGAGAATCAAGTATAAAGACATCCTCCATATTGGCTAACGTGTATTGTGATGCTGTACATATTTTTATTCCAATATTTTTATATAGTTTTAACTACTTTTCCATCTTTTAATAAAAAATTAACAAAAACAAGTATTAAAAATAATTAAAATATTAAAATGTAAAATAAAAATAGTACTAATGTATTTAAAATAATAACTTTTTAATATAAGAAAAGATGCAGATAAAAGGTCATATGATTTTCTACATTTGAAAAGAATAGCGTTGTTGGAATGCTATTCAGATTTTTTTCTACTGTCATTTTTTTCCTGGTTTTACAATATTTTTGAAAGGTTTTACCCTTGTAAAACATTCTATTCTGCTAGAGAACCCACCCTGAATTATCCATTATCCTAATTATACAGTAACATGTATATCTAAATTTTAAAGGAACATGCCATTTTGTATGTTATATTTCATCTTTATCTTTTTTATAGGTTATACAGAAAATAAAACATAAAAATTCAGTTTTCTTTCAGAAAAAATATCTTCTAAATGATTATATGGCATCATCTTTTGTTCCTCTGTGTCTCTTCATTGTTGAAACAAAATAAATATTTTCTTTTTGATGGGTATTAGCTTTGTTTCCTACATGGCACCTTAATAGTTTGGGAATATTCTGCAGCCATTTTTCTCAGTCAGAAAAAGATCACAAACCAAATAGTACTGACGTTTTAAAATTACCAACTTAATGTACTAAAGTTTTGTACAAATACTAAAATTTTTCTTCTCAATAATGAAATATAAAAAGTACTCAGGGGTGTAATTCATTTTTTATAGTTATAAATTCACAATTAATATATAATTAAAGATCTTAAAATTGGGTTTGAAGAATGTTATTTAGTTCAAAGTGAAGTTAAAATTTTTCCTACTTAAGAATACTTCCTTTATTTTCTTAGAACAATTGAGATTTTTTAAATATAAGGCTATCTAGATAAACTTCAAAAGGTTTTTTAGTTTGTGTACATTTGGATTCATTATATTTTATTTCTGGTATTATTTCTGTAATTATATTTATGTTTAAATGAAAATCATATATGAAATTACTACTGATATTTATAAAAACCAAGCAAACCTATGTAATGATTTTCAAATTAATTCAGAGATTGTATTTTTCTAAAAATACATATTTAAAAAATTAATTTAAAGCCATTGAAATGAATATATTAGATTATCTTACTTTTTGAATAATCTGTAAGAAAATTTCCAGATTTTTGTTTTTGTGTAAAGTTTCACTTTTTACTCTATGTAATTTTAAAATTCACTATATACTGTAAAACTTTTTTTGTAATCTTTTGAAACAGGTTTCAAGTTATTCAAGATCTTATTGCATCAATATTGGCCTTTCCTCTAAGTCATTTTGTTGGGTATCTGTTAGTTTTTATTTTGGGAATTGAAGTATTAGTAAGTATAAATTGCAATATTTTCATATTTCTTTAATATGTATGTAATAAGCATTAAATGATTTCATTTTTCCATTTTTTTTCCCAATGTGTCACTAGGTTCTTAGTTTTTTCTACCGCTATATGCTTACAGCTGGACTTACTGCATTTGCAGTTTGGCCATTCCTCAATCAGCTGTGGACTCGAGCAAAGGTATAAATAACTCATTTATGCAGCAGATTGGTAACTCCTTTTTTGATATGTGTTTAATTCAAGGAATTATTTTGAAACAAAATGGTAAAATTTATGCTTAAAGAACCTGTTGCTTTTGATAAGAGGAATAGGTTTAAGTTTCAGTGATTTAGATTTACATATCAAAATGAGCCAGCTATGCAGGTTTTGAAATGCTAAAAAAAACAATGATTCATCCTATGACGTACATCCCTGTCTTCCTTTAGTTGCAGGTTTGTAGTTGGAGAAAGCCCAGAGCAGCAGAGTGGCTTAGGAGTCAGGAAAGAAGATTCACCTTCTTTCTGGCCCTAACCCATTCAATGTTTTTCTTTTTTTTTTAATCTTTATTTTGAAAGTATACAACAGAATAAGTCAGAATAAAGCCAACTAAGATCATACAGTGAAATTGGTACAGAACTTCACAGCAGTTTACCGGGATAACAGTAATAGGTATCACAGTATATTTTGTTATCTTTATAATAGTTGTTCTTTCAATCCCGTATATCAAAATGAGATGAAATATAGAACTATAGAACTTATCAAAACAGAATATTGAATAGAGCAGTACCATTAATCAGAAAAGAGCAAAACAGTAATAAAAATATTTGCCTTTAAAGAAATGGTAGAAGGAAGTCTCCCTTATTTGCTATGGTCAACCTCCCAGGAGATACTCAGATTTCTGGTTCCCATTTGCTAATGGGCAAGGTGGGGAGGAGAAGGAGGATAGGGGAAGTGGGATATTTGACTCTAGGCCATGTAGCAGTAGGTTCACTATTGCTAAGCAGGGAGGCAGAATGGTTATTTGTTTTCACAGCGTCCTCAGTTCCAACATGGCATGGATCTCAGGAGACACTGCTAGCTCTCCTCCTGGAAGGGCTGCAGTCTGCCACCCTGCCTCCGCTTACCAGGGAGGGGAGGTGCTGGCTTGGCTTCCCAGAGGCCCAAGTTCCAACATGGCGTGGATCTCAGGAGACACTGCTGGTTCTCCCCCTGGAAGGGCTGCAGTCTGCCACCCTGCCTCCGCTTACCAGGGAGGGGAGGTGCTGGCTTGGCTTCCCAGAGTCCTAAGTTCCAGCATGGCGTGGATCTCAGGAGACACTGCTAGTTCTCCCCCTGGAAGGGCTGCAGTCTGCCACCCTGCCTCCGCTTACCAGGGAGGGGAGGTGCTGGCTTGGCTTCCCAGAGGCCCAAGTTCCAACATGGTGTGGATCTCAGGAGACACTGCTAGTTCTACACCTGGAAGGGCTGCAGTCTGCCACCCTACCTCTGCTTACCAGGGAGACTCAATATTTTTCTAGAGAAATATATTTTAAAATATATAGTTCTGACTTTCATCCTTTAGCTAAGCAAGTAATTACAATATACTTTTACAAAGACTATTTTTATGTTTCCGCTTTGATATTTTTGATGATGGTAACAAGATGATAAAAATATCTTCTTTCTACCCTGTAAGAATTTATAAAAATCTCCAGTTAATGGCCTTATTAATCGTATTTATCTTAATCTAATTATAAAAATAGTTTTACTTATTTCCCTATTTGGGGAAATGTTATTATCTGTCATGTTGTTGTTATTATAGGTATGTTTTCATACAGTTGTCATCATTAAGTGGTATAATATGAACTGAATGGGACACTTACATTGAAATATTAGATCCAAGGTTGAATCCTGGTTTTCTCATTTACTAGTTTGTGGACCTGGTATTACTTAAATTTTAACTTATCTAAGCTCAGTTTCCTCATCTGAAATGTTATGAATAATAAAACTTGACTCTTGAGGTTGTTGAGAATTAAGAGATAATATTTACACTGAATATAATACAGTACCTACTATGAGTCTCTTCACAAAAATAACTATTACTTTTTAAAGTAAAGTGCTATAAAGTTTTTCATTGTCTCTTTAATTTCACATGTAGTCTATGCAACATAGAAAACAGTTTTTATACTGTATTTGGCTAAAGATAACTGTTTTTTTTCTTTTTTTTTTTTTAGATTACCTCCTTGAGTTGGACTTTCTTCTGTTTGCTTCTGGCAGTGTTCCCACTGATGCCTGTCGTAGGTCGAAAGCCAGATATCTCTCTAGTGTATGAACAGCATTTTCTTTCTCTTTCAGTAATTTTTTTTCAATCAACACCCTGAAATTTGAACGTAATGTTGTTTATGAGTTTAAAATCACATAAATAAACTGCAAGTTAAAATATTAATATCAAACTACTCATCATGACTTTAGCCTAGGCTCGAGTGTTGTTTTAAGTCTCTTTAAAGATGCTTCTAAGATTTTACAAACAATGAAATTTTTCCATAAATAACTGAAAATACCACCCTCCCAAAAAGTCTGTTTTCCTTTCTTTTAAATGTTGGGAATTGATGAAAAGTTTAGTTTCATACTACAAAGTATTCTATTGCTAAAATAAAAAAGACCCAAAAACTATTATGTTACTCCATCTTTGCTTTTGACCATGTTCACATAAAATATCTTAGAAAAATGAAAATTTCTTCCTATCTTAATCTGAAATAAATATTTTTGTAGGAGGAAATTGTTTACTTTGAAAACTTTTCCATGTTTAGTCATTCATATTGTGTGAAAATTTTGCTTTGTACTTTACCTGAATTCTTCCTTCTGCTAGTATATTTATTCCTCCTCAATATGACTGAGTTAAATCTGTTAAATAATCAGTTACCTTTGTTTTTAACTCCACTTTTAAATTATTGTTAAATAACCTACCACATATAGGTTAGGTAGTTAACCTCTGTATGTTCAGTGAGCTAAGTGATCATGATATCATTTAACATTTTCTTTTTTATTTTCTAAGTTTGTAAACATCTTTGTTACTTCAAAATTCTATCAGCATTTTGAAACATTTTAACCTAATCTTTAAGAGATTTAGAGTATATCTTTTTTAACAGTATAAAAGCTAAGGAATTTTTATATGCTAATTTTAGATGTTCTATACCTTTCTCTCATTTGTGTTAGAAAATCAATGTTCAATAATAGATCAGAAACTATTCTAGGAAGTCAGTTTATTAGCAGAGCCCAAAATAATTGTATTGAATTCTGAAACCATGCTTATGCATACCTAGGCATACTACTTAGGCATACCGAGTATTACTAAGTTAAAACATTTTTCAGCTGTTATAAATTATAAATAGTATATGACAAAAATGAACTCAGATATTTTGTTTCTTGCAGTTTGTTCTGTGAGATCGTTTGTTGTTTCTGTGAAGCCCCTTTCTTTTATGGATTTTTTACCTATCAGTCTTAATCAATGTTGACATAGTTAAACATAATTTATCATATGATGAAAAGAAATTATATAAATGACCTTTACGAAAATTTGCCACTTTCATGTTCTGTTAAGATGAATGCAGAAAGAAAATACATCTATTAAAATATTAAAATGCAATTTGTATTATTTTAATTATATTGCTTCACTCTATAAATTTTAATTGCTTAGCAATTTTAAATATATGATGGTTTCCTACTAGCTATATTTATAGCTTCTTTATTTTGAAAATTTTAAACTGTGAATTTTATTTTGGAACAGAATGGGTGCAGGCTTGCTGGTTCTTCTGCTATCCCTGTTTGTTTTGACATCTCTTCTGAAAAGAAAAACTAGCTTTGGAAAGGCGGAGATATTGGTACATCTGTTACAGGTATTTCAGTGTTGTGTTACTCTAATGATATACAAAAGTGATCATATAGTTGTATTTAATATGTCTTTAGGATACATTGTGTTATATGAGTCAATATCTGCCAGCTAAGAGAAAATTTTCTGTTTAAGGTACTACATAGAAATAAGTCTTCTAATGTGCAAAAAATGCAAAAGAGTCAACAAAGCAACTAAAAAAATGTCTAGAGAGAAGAGGTTGAGGAAACTTACAAGACTTCTACTAAGCAAAACATAAGCTGAAAGGGTTTCCATGAGCCAAGTGTCTGTGTAAAGGCCTCATTTAAGGCAAGATTCTCTGAAGTGAAAGCAACCTAGAGTATGTTTATATGAAGAATAGCCAGTTTAAAACTACATATATGTTACAAGAAAATAAACTTCAGCTTGGATGGTGGCTTTGGTGTAGTAAAAAGAACTTAAAAGATTATATCACAGACTAAATTTATTCTTGGAAAGCAACAGAAAACTTATAAAAAAAGAAGAAATATTTTGTCAACGATCCTGTCAAGTAACTGAACATATGTTTTATTTTAAATGGTACACTGACTAAGATTACATTAAAGCCAGAGTAGCTTTGACAGAATTCACCTATGAGAACTTTGACAGAAGTGAATGTTTTTGACTCACACTCTAGAGGAAGAAAGAATGTGGTAAAATTCTTACAACTTTGTTAGAAATACCCTGAGTATTAGGTAATCCATTGCAAAGCTCTTTTTTGCCTTAGCTTTATTAGTTCACATTAATTTCTGTACTGCCTATCATATTTTATTGATTCCAAGATACATTTTTTTTTGCATTTTAGTATCTCTGAAGTGAATTTAAAATTGAAAGAATCCTAGGATTGTACCATATCTTTAGCAGCAATTTTGCTTCTTAATTCACTGAAAATGTAGGCATGATTAAATATAGCTCTTAGGATTTGGTAATGAGACTGCTAATCTAAACTAAGAGAATTTTATTTAGAGTCATAATTTAACGCCTGTGTGTATATGTGTAAGTGTTACTGGGGATTAAACCCAGCGGTATTCTACCACTGAACCACATCCCCAGGCCTTTTTATTTTTAGCTTGAGGCAGCATCTGGCTAAGTTGTTATGCTGATTTCAAACTTGTGGTCTTCCTGTCTCAGCCTCCCAGAGTTCTAGGGTTACAGGAATGTGCCGCCATGCATAGCTGTTAGCTCACTGTTTAAAAATGGCAATTGATCTGTTAGTTTGGGTCAACTAGATATTTTTCTAAAGAGCTAAATAGTAAAAATGTTAGGTTGCTATGAAGTGTGCTATAGTTTTTCAACTTTACTATTCAGCGTAAAGAGAAATAATACATAAATGAAAGTAATTATGTTTTAATAAAACAGTATTTATAAAAACAGACCACCACCCTTTGCATTATAGTTTACCAACTTCTACACTAATTTATAAATATTCTGTGAAGAGTTACATTCTATGTTTCCTCGGTGCCAGGTAAATATATAGACCATACAATGTTTTGATCAACAAATCAGTATAACTGTAGGGGACGGTCTGGGGTAAAAGCACTATGTCACATATACTAAACTATACACATTTCACGCTGTTTGTTTCCATAATTTAAGAAACCTTTAACTTTTACAACAAGTACTATAAACAGGAACAGTGTGATGATATATGCTCTCAAAATGCCTCCTGTCACGGTTATAAAAGAGGTCCTTTGTTTCCTACAGAAGTACTAACTGTTAGTCTTGGCCAGAAGAGGGTGACCTTGTCCAGTTTCAGTAGCATATTGGCCACATGATAGTTGTTCCCAGCATTTTCCTAAGAATGTTTTTCTAATGTATAGTCTTTTATCACCTTCTCTTTTAGTGACCTGTTTTGTTTGTATTTTCAGATGATAAATACAGTGCTTTCTATGTATATTGTGTATAGTACCCACAATAGTCTATTCAAGAAACAGGGACTACCTCTTATGAATCAAATTGTGAGCTGGGCAACATTAGGTAAGTGGCTATCCAAACCAAATGAAGTCATTTATATCACATCAGTTATCTTCAAATGATCCCTTTATGTCTTATTATCATTATTGAAATAAATAATTTTTTGTGGGAAAATACTAATAAATAGGTATTAATTCTATCCTGTTAGCATTTGACAAAAAATAGTCTTTCATGAGTATGCATGTGTAAATTAGAATTACTTGATAGAATATTTATGAACTGAGGGGTTCATGAAGAAGATCATGTGGTTAATTTTCATGTTGTTTCAGAAATTTTTAGTTTTTACACAGGAAAAAGGAAATGGTCAAATTTTCTTATTCACTTTACAACATAGTACACATTTTATAGAGATGAGTATTTCAAAGCATAGTCCTCTATGAAATACCCTTATTTAAGAACATTGGAATGTTTGTGTGAATCAAACATATAATTTGAAGATGTAGGCTTTCCCTTTTAACTGGAAGACAAAAGCAAGCTATAAAGTCAAGATTTTTCATGTGAAAAAGACACTTTGCTATACCTATGAATGATTTCACTTATAGCTTAACATTTTTAATGGTTTTTTGTTGTTTGTCATTATAAATGAAAAGATCTTTGAATGCAACTTTGCCTTGAAAAGAGTAAAGTTGTCTCTTCAAAGAGACAGGAATGTGCTTCCTAGGATTGATTTTAAAGCTCAAGCTGATTTAAAAATGCAAAAGGGAGAAGACATGTGTCTCCTAAATTTTTAGTTTTCCCATTTTCCAAACTTCTCAGTCATTGTTTAAGTGAAACTTACTGGTCAATAATCTCTGTGTATTTATCTGTCTATACACATACACATTTTAATATATATATATAAATATATAAATTTTCATTTTCACTACATGTTTCATTTCATTAAGGGCATTCTGTGGACCTGCTTTTCTTTTGAATCCTCTTAATTATAAAAGTTACTATTTATTCTGCATAAATGATCAGTGACTACTCCTTCATATTCAAAAATTTTGTAGTATGTTCTGGTAAATTCTTTTTGCTGAAGTTAATGAAGATTGACCAAATTTCTATTATCTTACAACTTATGTGCAGCAAGAATAGACAAGATGATATTTTAGTGAAGTGACTATGAATAATGATATTTCATATGACATGTTTTGAAGTGCACAGAAAACTTGCAGCCAGGAGATACACTATTGAAGTGAATTTTTTCTTCACAAATTTCTAGTCATATATGATAATTAACAGATGAACAATACATCACAGATAAAAAGCTGGAGATCTAGGGCTGGGGGTTTAGCTCAGCAGCATAAGTGCCTGCTTGGCAAACACGAGGTTAGTGAGTTCAATCCCCTACACCAAAAAAAAAAAAAAGAAAGAAAGAAAGAAAGAAACTGCAGATCGTTATGGATATGTAGCCACTCAGCTACTGCTGAACCCATAACCTCATGTCTTTGCAGTATAGTCATGTTCTGTTTCTTAGTTTTCTTTGCTACTTGTAAATAAACCACAACAAAGAAGACTTTTTTTTTCAAGGACGGTGTTGTACTTAGGGGTTGTACACAGAACAATTAGAATCAGGACATGGAGTGTATAATATTATTTTTATGATGGTCACACATAGTTAACACAAGAAAATGCAGGAAATCTATCCACAACAGTAAAGACATAGACTATTTAACCAAGGGCCTGAATCCCACAGCAATGTCCCACATGAGTCCAGATGAAGACCCAGAGCTCATGATAGTACCTCCCATGAGTCCAACTGGAGATTCAGAGCCCACAACACGGACTCATACCAGTCTCTTTTACGGATCCATGCTGGGAAGGCCCAAGGGTCAGCGGTGGAAGCCAGAAAGTCTATGCCAGCGGGGTGAAGGAGCTGTGCTAGTAGATTGAGGGTTCTACGCTGGAGCCAAGAAGTCACACTCATAACAAAGACCAGGGTTGTCCTGAAAAGTACCACAGCCATCCTCAGCGAGATGAAGGCCCCGAGCTCCTCCGATGACAAGTACAGTTGAGTACGTGCCAGGAAGCCAGCGTGAATAGTTCATAAAGGACACATATCTTCACCTCTAGAGCCAGGAAGAAGTGCTCAATGTGAGGACCAAAAGCTTCTCCAGGAGAACCAACAGCTCAAAGAGCAACATGTGGGAGAACCACAGTGCCTCAGCGTACCTCAGTGCAGTAATGCTTCAACTTATCCACGTCTTTAGTACGCTGACAACTTTCCTCAGGTGAAACATCTGCGCTCAGCAGCATGATGATTTAATTCCGCTGGCGTTAAGTTGACCACCAGTTTTTAATCCGTAACAGAAGGCTTTTTTAAAAAAGCAAAAACTGACCTTGTCCAAGTATTATTATGTCTTATTTTATTATTTGGTTTTTTACATACCAAATAAGCTGCAATAACTTGTAAGAATAGTTAAGAATGAACGAAGATGAAAAAACAAGAAAAAATTGATGTGTCTCGTTTTTAAACTTCAAAAAAGGTCAAGAAACAGAACAAGAATTACAGAAAGCCATCTTTCATTACTTGTGCTTATTCTTTAGCTGTGTACATATGTATTTGTGTGTATAAAATTTTTGAAATACTTGATTAATTTTTTTCTATTCTGTCATCTTTATTTTAATTGTTTTGGATGACCTGGTCTTTATGGTATTTTCCTTCCTTTTTGTCTTTTATTACATTGACAATATAAAAATATATAGCACCTCTGCCTGTAGATTGTTACTGAGTTTGTACTTTCTGATGTTTCCTTATAATTAAATTTAGATTATAGCCAGATATGGTGGCACATGCTTACACTCCCAGGTATTTGGGAGCTAAGGCAAGAAGATGACAAGTTCAAGGGCTGCCTTAAGAAGAACCTGTCTAAAAAGAAATTGAGGTTATTTTTTATTGGCCAAAATATGCTACATAGTGATATAACATGATTATATCCTTTTTATACTTAGGTCAAGAGACAAATAATCTGTCCCTTATTAGTGATGTTAATTTTGATTATCCCTTCAAGATGTTGTCCATTATAGTCTTACTGTTTTTCTTTCCTCTAAGTATCTCTGGGAGAGATACTCTTAAGATGATCAGTATCCTTTTTATCAAAATTCTCTTGAAATTTAACACCCATCCATCTTCCTTGATCAGTCTTTGCCTTATCCAGTGAGTGGTCATGAAATGATGATTTTCCAACTTGGACATTCCCACTGCATATATAAGAAGGCATTGAATATCTAACTGTAAAAAAATTCTTCTTTATATCCTTTATTCATTTGTTCACATTTCTATTTATATTGATGTCGAATCATGAATTCCCATTGTTGGAAAGGTTTTTAATTCACTACTACTGGTTATCTCGTTCATACTGTCTCAGACTTGGTAGAAGGGTTTCTTCAAGCTGCCTTGTAATAGAATCCCCTAGCCACAAACTTTTTTGAGCATTTTCCTCTTTTTCTGGTAATAAAAAGATGTTTTAGATTTACTTCATTGTTCACCCTGTCCCAGCCTAAAACAACTTTTTAATATGTATGTATTTTTTAATGTATATGCCATGTGCACATAAATGTGTTCATGCATACCTGTATTTTACAAATTATAATTTTACATTGATACCTCTACTTCTAGTTAGTCATAAAGTTTCTATCTTGCCTACCTTGAATACATATTTATATCAATATTTGTATATGGAATGAGGGAAGATGATAGCTATGGTCCTACATCCTTGATCCCAGTATCACACACCATAAATCCAGCCACTTCAAAAAAAACCCCACTATGACTGCATATGGTATTGGGGGACATTTTAGGTACAAGCCATAATACTTTCCAAAGCCTTACCTCTATTGAGATAGTTTGTTTTCCTTAACCTATGGGGGAGGATTGCTTCAGTTATTATGATTTATATTGCAGCTGTCGTGCCTGATGAAGCCATTACAATTTTCCAGGTAGCACACTACAACTGTCAGTTTGTACTTTATAGTGAAAAACCTGAGGGGAATAGGGGAGTAGGGAAAATCAGTTTCTAGAAATCGACTGTCTTTGGATCAAGATAAAATGTGTAACTGAAACATGATTTGCTAAATCTTGAGTAATCTGTATTATTTCATTGCAAAATAATCAATTATTTAGGAGTTAATATTACTACAGTGATCTAAATATATATTGAGAAATTTTGAGTTATTTAAGCCAATATAATTCAAATAATAAAATATAACTTTAATTGAACATGCAAAGTTTCTGATTTCTTATAGAATTCACTAGGGCAAATACAGCCTTATGACAAAGGTAACACATAGCTAAATACCGTAAATGACAATTGGTTGTCCAGAGCCTCCAAACTAACATTGTGTGTGCCCCTTGCACTGACCTGCTTTGTTTTATTGCAGCCTCTTCCTTGGTTGTGCCACTGCTGAGTTCTCCGGTTCTCTTCTGGCGATTGTTCAGCATACTTCTTTCCTTGATGTCAACCTATTTACTGCTAAGCACAGGGTATACACTTTTTAAAAATTTAATTTTATAATAGTAATCTTAAATGATGTATTGACATTTTCTCTATTACTACAAAAATGAAAATTCTTGAGGGATAAAAATAGTTGTTGTATTTTGTATACTACTTGATCTATACTCGTTTTTTTTATTTTCATATAATTTTTCATTATCCTTGTCTTTGTTTATTTACTATATGCTAAAATTCATTTAACTCCTAGTTCTGATAAGACAGGGAGAGAGTTTTTACATCTCAAAGACTTTTATTTTCAATTTTGTTACATTCTTTTCATGCATTTTAAACCATATTTTAGGGTTGGGTTATAGCTCAGTGATAGAGCACTACTTAGTATGTATATGCCCTGGTTCAATTCCTAGCATATCTAAAAAGAAAAAAAAAACATGCTTTTATTTGTTCTTATTTGAAAGTAATATTTTGTTTTTATTCTTACTCATATATATTATGGTTCTAATCTTTGATTCAAGGAAATTTCAGAATTTTTATCTAAAGGTACAAGAATTTATTTTTAAGATCTAAATCTTCTTACCAAATAAAAGACAAAAAATCCAACAACTTGATTTTGCGTGAATCCTGAATCATTCTTCAGAATTCATTAAAAGATTATATATTCTTTCTACACTGAAGAAAAGAATACCTGCTTTTGAATTTTATTTCATCCTTGCTTAAGTTATTAGGGTGAGAAATGTTTTATAACAATGATGACTAGAACAGACAAATTAACACCACTCATAGACAGTTAGAATTTTGTCCCAAATACAGGACTGAGATCCAAATTAGACTAAACCTAGGCATTTACCATTGTACTATTAACAGATTACTTGTAATTTAGATGATTTCATAAAGCCATTTTGGATCCAATCTTAATTGGGAAGTTTAATTGTTCTGATTCAGGAGTAGATGCTCTCAAAATCTTTTCTTAGTAGACTAACATTCTAAGTGACCTAGACTCCAGGATTTCTTATAGACCCTTGCTAGGAAGTAATCCACTGAGGCACTAAACTGCTTTCTGTCACCAAAGCTCCTCACTCCTTCCTTCCTTCAACTTGCCTAACCAGATGTGGATCAGAGCTGTGAAGATGTTATATGCACATCATAGAAATTTTGTATTGGTTGTCTGATGACATGGGCTTCCTTTGTGATTTTGAACTTTGAAATGAAATCTGTAAACATCAATTGTTTTTATTTGACAGTGATAAACATTGCTGAATATTATAGGTGCACACCTATAATGTCAATACTCAAGTGAATGAGGCAGGAGGATTCCAAATTTAAAGTCAGCCTGGGTTACATAGTGACAAGGTTCAGATATATGTGCTGATTTATACACAATCACTGAATACTAAATAAACATTTTTCTTTTTTGAACCTTTAAATTTTAATGCAATAAACAGATTCAAAGGACTATATAGTAGATTAAAAATATAAACAAACTGAAATATGGATGTGGTTTACTGGATTAGAAATGAACAAGGAAAGAAAAAAGGAGTGATAATTATAGCTTAATTTTGAGTGAAATAAAATTAATTATGTAACTTACCTTGGAGTATCATCAATTTAAAACATGGTGATACTCCAGGTAAGTTAATGATCATAGAAGATGCTGAAATTGATTTTCATAAGTATGTTCAGTTGTTTGAGAAAATCTGAAAAGTGAAAGTTTATGCCTCAAAGTGAAAATTTATGTCTGAAATCAAAGTATTAATACTGAATATAAATTTATTAGTGAATAAATTACTTGACATCTGAACCTGAATTTAGTTTTATAAGAAAAATCAAAAGGCTATATTGAACCAGCACAGTCTAATCATTTAAGTTAGTACATTTTTTCATTGTCAAATCAGTTTTACAAAAATGTAATCTACCTGCTATTGTTCAGCATCACTGTTTTGATGTTTTGGTACTCTGACTCCAATACTTTCTGCCCAGATCTAAAGGTTTGTCTGTATAAATTATTGAATACTCAGAAATGTAGGATATTTTTAAAATGCAGCTTTGTTATAGAAACACAGTAATAGTAATTCTAAATTCTAACAATGCATCCTGATTTAATGAATAAAGATTTCTTTTTAATCAATACTTAATTATTTTTATGCAAATGGAAACTATTTTAATACTTGAAAATAGTTTACTCTCTTAGGCTGGTTAAGAATTTCACTCTGAAGTTTCGTTATCCCTTACCAAAGGGTTGCCTTTCTAAATGCCTTTTGAGTCCTGTTCAATTTGCGCAGAAACCAAACCAACAGATCTTGTTGAGTAGGATTTCATTATGTTCCTTCAAGCCCATATTTTGTTGATATTTTGGTTTATTCAGATTTGTAACTTTATATACAGTATTATGTAGTTTATAGGAATATTGTGTTTATCTGATTTATTCACCTATATTTCACAAAAGAAACTAATTAAGTGCATATTTTTTAAAGGAGATAAATCTATAACACTATTTGTAGAATTAAGGAATTTGTATTTTTATAAATTATGAAAAATACCTTTCTATACAACTGCAAATATTTTTAAAAATCAGTCTTCTTTTGCTTAGAGAATGCACCTTGTGATTTAATCTATAGTTGTTTTTTTCTTTCACATATCTAGCATCCTAAGCAAAAGACACATACAAAGAAAAATAATACTATAATGCAGGCATATAGTGGAATAATAAACTGCTGTAAAGTGAAGACTGTGTTTTGCTGCATTAGATAATTAAAAAGGAAAAATTAAGTGAGTTAAATTGTGAATTACGTGATACAAAGAATGACTAGAGTTTGACTAGTGTGATGATGCATATTCTCATGTGAAGTTGAATTGAATTTTAAAGAAAGGCCAGCATAATAGGTATTCTATATTGTTTTTCAGTTCTTTCTGAAAAGTAAGGATAAGGAGCAAAGCTATTTTTATTTTTCCGTGTTGATATTCTTGTATATTTTCTTTTGATCTTAATTCCGTGTATCTTTTAAACATAGAATTAATAATACTTCTGTTATTTTGTATCTTTTTTCCTACTTAGCAAACTTATTTTTGAAACATTTTGCTAAGTAGGTCATACACTTCCTGGCCACTATTTTAATGAATATTTAATATGTCCTGTTAGAATGCACCTTGATTATTTAGCCATTCTCCTCTTTGTAATCATTTTGTTTCTACCTTTTGTTGTCATAAATAATATTTGACCTATATTTTTAAGCAAAAACTTCTTACATAGTTTCGATTTTTTTTTTTTTTGTTTACTTCTCAGAATAGTTTAGGTGGGCCATTGGATATGAACTTTTTTTTTAAAGAACTGTGTCACTTTATAATATTGCTGAAAAAGCACTTGGATACTATTTTGTCATATCTTTAATAATAGTTGATATTTTCATTTTCAACTAGTATCAAATGCTATTTTCATAGGCTGAAAATGATACTGCTTTTCTACAGTTTCTGTACTTAGGATATTTTCTCTTATTTACTAGATATTTTCTCCTAAAGATTATATGTATAAACGTATATATGTATACATATATATGCACAGACAAGATACATAATTACACTACTAATTTCTATGAACTCACTGAAAAAAATGGTTTGTGCTTTCACTGATCATTTTTCATGCGTATATCTTGTAATCTGAGCAACTAATTTGAAGATAACAATACGCAATATATTAACCATTGTTAGTCTCCCATTATTTTATTTTGAAATTCTGTATCATTTTTATTAATTTTTTATTTAAATTTTGAAAAAAAGATATTTTTTCCTATATGTTTTATCTGCTTTATATTCTTGGTTCTAAATCTCACATACCAGCTAGTTTGTATATGCGTTCTCAGACTCCAGTACTTCTGCCCAATATCTGGTGCTTAGTTTTATAATTGTGGTAAATTTTTGTGGGATTTTTTTCCCCGTGTTGGGTGTTGAACCCACGACCTTGTGTGTCATCTCATGTTTAGAAAATAGTGCCAAATGGCTTAGAGCTCAGTAGCTGAAAAGAGAAATAATGTTTCATTTTGGTTTTTTTGTTTTATAACTTTCAATTACTTTACTAACTCATTCAAAAATACTACTTAGTCAGGGGTGTTGGCTCACAACTGTAATCTCAGCACTCAGGAGGCTGAAAGGTGAATTACAAATTGGAGTTCTGCTTGGGAATTTAACAACTTCAAGGTCAACCTGGACTACGTAATGAGACCCTCTCTAAACCCTGCCTTCCCACACTGGCCCAAAAACCTTTTTGAGTTAGAACTGCCATGGTAACTAGACAAACTGTTTTCAAAGATTTTATAATGTAATAGTAAGTGTACACAAGTAAAATTGTGATTAAAACAGTATGATAGATACTATATTAGACCAGCAACATATTTTTGATAAATTGATAAATATGATAAATATTGTTTTAATGTTTTGATTTCCATATCAGTAATTGATAAGGTCAAATATATTTTCATGGGTTTATTGGCCCTTTTCAGTATAAACTTGTATTTTTATTTGTCTAATGATTTTTTCTTTTCATTTCTGTCCTCTCTCCACCCACTTCCCACTTCTTAGGTATGAAGCTCTCTTTCCATTAGTTTTGTCATGTTTGATGTTTATCTGGATATACATGGAACAAGAAACCCTACAACAATCTGGTATTTTCTCTAAACAGAAGGTAGCTTGTCAAAATCCTTGTTGTGTTTAAAAATGCTAAAATATTCTCTGACCTGTAAGGAAGTTGAAATGTTACTTCATCAAAAATTCTACTTAAATTTTAACATTTAAAGAAAATTTAATGTAGCATTTAGTAAATGTTATTTAGCATTAGTAAACGTTAACCAGTTTGTATGAAATTCTCACTTATCACAAAAAGTATGAACTTACAGTTTTATAGGCTGTATGTAATTGGGCTTTTCTTAGTAATTGCTTAAAAATCACTGATGTAAAAAAAAAATCAGTATAGGTGAATGAATGGAGGAGAAAAGAATGTCCTTAATCTTATTTTCATTTGTCATCATATTGTTTTTCCTCTGTCAGTTTTAGTCAGAAAAATGTTGGTGTCACAAGATCATGAAAGTGACATTTAAATTCCCACTGTAATTTTTCTGGTTATCCTAATCCATGAGTGTTTACAAGCTGTGATTAAAATATACAGTGAGTGTTTACATTACTAGGATTTATTCCAGTAAAAACACATTGTCATTAGTCTCTCTCAAAGTACCCAGCCTCTACTTCAAACACACTTGTCCTATTGTTCTTGCCACTTTCTGAAGTAGTTCTGGAAGTCCTCTTTTGTGTCTTTAATAAGTTTAGTATTTTTTAATTTAAACACTCACCCTATTTTTAGATTGTGTCTTATTATATTCTTTCATCTTAGTAATTGTGGCCTCAGGCCAATTTTGGAGTGTTTATGCAACACAGAATACTTACAGTTAGCTAACAGCCAATCAAAATTTCTTTTAACTTTTGTTTTTATTAATATATATTTGAGTACATAATGATTACATTCGTCATAGGGAGTCGGTTCATGTACATAGCACATATATTTTTATGTCCCCTTTTTCTTTTTGTTGCCCTCCCAGCCAGCCACATTTTAAAGTCAGCTTTATCATGTTGAGTTAAACTGATATATCTTGTCTTTTTTAAAATTAAAGGTAATGAGGAATTGGTGATAAAAGTATTTACAATTGTACTGAGGCCAGGTAAATGAATACAAATTGCTGAAAAATACTTTCATAATTGATCCGTCCTTAACTGCCTCCAGTTAGGCTTATTGAAAGGAACTGATAATTCAGAATAACTAATCTTAACACAGCAAAGATCTTACTGAGGTATACTGAATAACTATTGATTTTTAACTTTCAGTACTAGAATAGTAAAACTACACAAAAGAGTAGTTTTGATCAGATGAATGTAAACATTCAGAAACTGTCCTTAATATTTCATCAGACCACAGTCATTGTGTCACATTTTAAATTCTTTTTTAAAACTGAAATCAAGTCTGTTTTTTTCTAGAAGAAATTATTAAAGCACCCTAAGTGCTTAGCTGAAAAATTACACAGGGAATAGAGTGGCACTAATTCATCTGTTAGCAGTCTTTCATGTGGTTAGGAGGATTAAGCGAGTATATCTATCTGACTGTGATTGACAGCCATTTTACCAAAGATATTAGTATTTTGCTTTGCTAATGAAAAATAAAATTTGTCTGCAAATAAAATGAACAGAAAAAGAAACAGGATTAATTTTAACATATCTTTTTATATTAAACCGTACAGGAATTTAAGAAATCAGGATACTTTCTAGGCAATCAAGTTTTTGAAAGGGAAGAATTCTATAGGAATTTAAAAGTGAAGTGTTTATGATGGATAGGGAAAAACTCAATTCTCATTTTTATTGAACATATCCTAACACTATAGCTCTGTTTAGTACGTTATTCAAAACATATTTTCCTTTTGGCAGATTTTAATAAAACATAATTAAGATATTTTTTAAAAAATATATTGTTGGGTTTTTTGTGGTAGCACAGGATATATTTCCAGCCCCATGTTAGCGTCCTTTATAAGTTTGCCTTTGAGTATAGACATAAGCCAACTGTTAATGTGAATTAATAATATTTCTTCTCTCATAGCTCACCAGTATCCAGTTCTCCTACAATACTGATATAACTCAGTTTCGACAACTATATCTGGATGACGTCCGTAGGGCTTTTTTCCTTGTATCCTTTGTTGGGACTTTTATTTTAAATCCTGCAAAATCCTATTTATTAGAAGTAGGAAACATGGTAGATATTTTTGCTCATTAATTATTAAAGTGATACTACTTTAGCAGCTTTTTATTCTCACAACTATCGTTTTTTCACATATATAAATTCACTTTTTAAAAATTTTAAGTATATACTTTACTACATAAAAAGCGTATTTTTACCACTTAAGATACCAGCAATTACGATTTTATCACATATATTTTTTAAAAATTAAACCATTACAGCTAAAGCTGAAATCTTCTGACTAGTTTTTTTGTCTTTTTGGTTTTGGGCTTTTTTGTTGTTGTTTGGTTTTTTTGAGACAAGGTCTTGCTATGCAGTTCAGGCTGGCCTTGAGCTCACTTTGTAGCTCAGTCTAGTCTCGAACTCACAATGTTCCTCCTGCCTCAACCTGCTGATGTTGGGATTACAGACATGTTCCACCATGACTGGCCTATGGCTACTTTTAAGAAATTCATAAAATTTTAAATTTAAGTTTTCCAGCTCTGTAAAGATATTGATTTCACTTCCTTTGTCTGTGTAGCCAAAAGTGGCATAATGTGGTAGTTGTGATTTTTAAATTAGTTTTCCATAATGACTGCTAATTTATGTGAGAAAGAGAAAGAGAGACAGAGACAGACAGACTAGGAATTGAACCCAAGACTTTGTTTATGGTAGGCAAGTGCTCTACCACTAAGCTACATATAGAACCTTTTTAAAAAATTATTTTACTCTAGTTTTTCTAATTTTGAATGAAGGTCTTGCTGAGTTACTCAAGCTAACCTTGAATTTGTGATCCTACCTCAACCTCACAAGTAGCTAGGATTATAGATATATGCCATCATCCCAAGGCTATGACTCTACTGATTTATATTCCTACCAACAGTGTATAAAGATTCTGTTTTCCTCAGATCCTTGTCAATATTTATTTTTCAACTTTTAGAATAGCATTCTATCATGTGTGAGGTAATATCTCATTGTGGTTTTGATTTTTATTTCTCTGTTAGTGATGTTGAGAATTTTTAAAATATACCTGTTGGCCATTTTATGTCTTCTTTTGAGAAGTCTGTTCAGGTCCTTTGACAGTTTTTAAACTGAAGTGCTTGGATTTGTCTTTTAAGCTGTAGAAGTTCTTTACATCTTTTGGATATTAACCTTTTGTACATATTGGAGGCATTTCCTTTGAACTTATAGTGGTGTAAGGTTTGGGCCTTTCAGGTTCAGAAAAATAGATATTCTTATTGTCTCCTTGTCACTTCTCAGTTTTATTTTGCCTATTTTCATAAGATCTTCCCACTCATCCTGTACTACAAAACAAAAGCAAAAAGCTTTTTCCACCAAACTCTGCATTTCCCCCATAATTACATTCTGTCCTTTCTATTTGCTACCAAAACTCTTGCAGGATAATTCCTTACTTGTTTCCATTATTTCTTCTTTATTTATGGGCTATACCCAGAAATGTAGAACAGTGGCTGGCACATAGTTGTACTGTATCAATGTTTGTCAAATGTTTTTGCTGAAGCTACACTGGATAGTCCTGCAGTGGTGTTCTGATTATTGCATATCTAATCGATACTTCACCACACTAATATTTAACTCTATTGATTTTCCTCTTATTTTCCCTGGAATACTATTTAAATTTTCTTCTTAGTTTTCTGTATTATCTCTCTTCTCCTCCAAATCTCTTCCTTTGCCTAATCTTGATCTGTTTTTTTCCAAACTTCACTGTTTCTCCGTCATCCTTTCCTGTAACAGTAACAAAAGCAACTATGCAGACAACTCTTGAGACAACTTATTCCAGTACTGACCTCTTTCTTGACCTCAGAAGCTAACTATGTGGCCAGCATTTCCTGGACGCCACCCAGTATGTCCCAAACTATCTCTCAAAGCCTCCCCTGCTCCTCTGCCCTCCCCTTCCCTCTCCTTTGTCTCCCTTCCTCTCATTTAATGGCTTTACCATGTTCTCAGTCACCCAGACCTCCAAACTTACCATAATGAACTGCTCCTTATCCACTTCTATGGCTCTGTGGCCTGCCTTTGTTCTCTACATGTTCACTGTCATTAACTAGTTCAGAACTACTTGTCTCTGATATGGACTACTGAATTAGTTCCTTAATTAGATTTTCTGCCTCCAACTGTTTATTTCCCTAATCTAAATATCACAGATTGATATTTCTTGCTTCATCTTTTACTGTATCTTTCAATTAACTTTAAGCTCCTATCATACCTATTTACTGTTTCATGATTATATCATTAATTTTTCTACTTTTTCTTTACTGATCTTAGAGATTGTTATATTCTAAGTGCTTCACTGTCTCTGCATATCATAGACAAAAAATGTTGGTTGATTAATTAAGTAAATATATGCACAAATACATTTAAGGCTCATTTTACCAACTTAGATGCCACTTTTATACCAACAGTTGTCATAACATACACTATTTTTTCAGGGTTTTTATACCATGTGCATGTATATATAATAAAATAACAAACATTTATTGAGTCCTTTCAGTAGACCACACATTGTTTTGAGTATTTCATTAGCAATAGGTACTTTGATGCTATCAGATTAATGTCTTTTTATTACTATTATAATACAAATCTAAGATTAAGAAATGTCAAAAGGATGTTCAACATTTTCATTTCACTCTCTACTAAAGTTTTCTAAAGCAGGGTATATTATTTCTTTTCTTAGCCTTTTGAAGAACCTCGCATGGGGTTCCTGCATAGTGAACACATAGTAAGCCTATATGCACTAAAATTAAAACTGTCTTGCAAGTCACTGTTCTTTCAGAAAAGTCACTATCAATCAACTGTAGACGTAGTCCAACTTGCTTGTGTCCTGACAGTGAGAACTAACTTCCCCAAGTTATTAGTAGCCAAGTGAAGATGGCTTCCCAGGTGTCATGGTGTTCAATACATTGTTTCTTTAGTCTGGTCCTTTCAAAGCACATTCACAGTGGAATATATAAGAAAAGCAAATTACTCTTCTGGTGGAATTGGCATGCCTTTTCTAAATGGAAAAGAAGTTGGTATGACTTTGGACTAGCTTTGGCATTTCTTTAACTCTATTTAGGTCTTCTTCTTAGTGACAGCATTTTTTGGAACTGGAAACATAGCTTCTATTAACAGGTAATTTAAATTGAAAACAATATGTATGTATTGAAAGTACCTTGTTTATACTGAATAATATATTTTGCAGCTTGATATCGATTGTCACATACAGATCTATTTTGCTTTTTTAATAGCTTCATGATACTCCTTGATGTAATGTATGCTTGTGTAAGAGTAAATCTCAGAGAATTAAACATGTTTAGCAGAACAATCTTTTAAAGTTATAGTATGAATTCTAAAGTGCTTTTTCTTTATGTTATGATTCCCTAGCTTTGATCTTGCTTCTGTCTACTGCTTTTTGACTGTGTTTAGTCCTTTTATGATGGGAGCCTTGATGATGTGGAAGGTTAGTTTTCTTATTTTATTATTTATATTAAGATTGATTAAGATGATGAATTCATTGTGATTTAAGATTATATAACTTATGACATTAAGATTAAAAGCCATTGTGAGAAACTTAAATGGCAGTGGGAAGAAAACATCTTTCTAGACACTGTTACCACTGCCATCTGGAAGCAGAATCATCCTGCACTTACTTACAAATACAATTAACCTTTATGCTTTACTCTTGAGACTGTTTGACTTCAAAAGAGTAAGATTTCATGTTAGTTCCAGAATGTCCTATCAGAGGTAGTTAAAGCTTGTACAGAACCTGTGATCAAAACTGCAGTGCTGGGGGCTGGAGATTTAGCTCAATGGCATAAGCGCCTGCCTTGCAAGCAGGCAGTCGTGAGTTCGATCCCTGGTACCGATAAAAAAAAAAAAAAAAATGAAAAAGACAAAAAAAAAAAAAAAAAAAAAACAAACTGCAAGTGCTGCTAAAGATTTTATAGCTTCCTGAACACATTGCCCCCACCCACAAAACTGCCAATGTGTTATAATCTATGTACCTAAAATTGATCTTTTCCTTTGACAGGTATGTCATTGAGTGCTCCATTCATTAGCATGCCAGGCACTAGCTGGGAACTAACAATACAAAAATAATAACATATTCTTAGGTTTCTGGGTATTGATTCTATTTCTCCCCTTCTTCTTTAGAGTCATTATACTTCAGTTGTTCCTTTTATCACATTTTCTCTACTATAGCTACTGTGGTAGAGAATTTTATGCAATTAGTATATACTTACTTAGAGTAATTGTAGACTAAAATATGATTACCTCTGCATGGATCGTGTAAGCAATAATAGTTCTTAAAAATATGTATTTTCTTATAGGAGTTTTGTTACTGCACTAATACTATTTTTTGTTTCAGTACTAATACAAATATGCATTTAAGAAATGTTAAAAAGATGTTGGCTGGGGATGTAACTCAGTAGTAGGGTTGACCTGGAATGCACAAGGCCCTGGGTTCAATCCCCAGTAACATAAAAACAAACAAACAAGCAAAAAAAAAAAAAAAAAGAGATGTATAGTACTTTGTTATATCCCATTCTTTATCAAATTATTTTAAAATGTTATTTCCTTAATTTTAATTCACATTTTAAAAACTGGTAGTTATTTTATGACTAGTAAAGACTGCAAATCTAGCTAAAAATAAGGAAGAAAGAAAAAGTCAAATTATAATACTGCATCTTTAATCTGCAGCATAATTCATTTCACTTTAACAGCATAATACACTTGACTTTGTTGATTGATTGTTAGTGAGAACCTTTAGAAACACAAAAAGCAATGATAAAGCAACTATACTTGTTTACAGTGTTATGATATCCATATTATATGAGTTCAAAGATTTTGAATCATGTTATCAGGCTGCTTAATTTATTTGATTTTGGTGTTCCTTCCGTGCCTTTTATAACCTCTTGGAGTCATTTAAACATTGTCATGAATTGTTAGGATGAGCCAAATAAAAAATAAATTGTAGTAAGTTTTTATTTGGAATATGCATTAATGTTTATTGTTTATGCTGTATATGTTAATGTAGCTTTTTAAATGTTTTGTCATTGTTTTATGCCATTGATGTTGTGCATTTCAGTGTTTGCTCTTCATTAGTATGTATATAAAATATTTGAGAAATTCAAAATATTTTCATAAGCAGAAATAGCATTTGTTTCAAAACTGAGTTCGGTGGAAGATGTCTATGACTGAGCAAGGAGAATCTCAGAATAGAGGCCAACTAGGGCTATTTAGAAGACACTGTCACAAAATAAAGCAAAAAGGATTGGAGGCAGGCAGAGTGCCCTGTGTTTGATCTTTAGTAATACCCACCCAAAAAAGGAAATAGTACTTGTTTCAAAAGCTGTTTCAAATTCTTCAGTTACCAATGACATCATTTGTTATTCTTTTAAACAGATTTTAATTCCTTTTGTTCTTGTGATGTGTGCTTTTGAAGCAGTTCAGTTAACTACACAGTTATCTTCAAAAAGGTAAGAAGTTATAGAAAAAAGTAGCTCCTAGTAGCACCATTTGGCTGTGAAATGTGAAGTGGAAGAAGCAAGAGGTTGATGTGGCCAAGTGATCCCACACATATGTAGCCAGGAACTTCAAAATTCCCATAGCAGATCTCTTTCCTCTAGGGGGAAAGACAGCTCCCCTCTTCCACCATAAAGGGGACTTGCTAATTCTCAGAGGGAAGGGGACTCAGAGCTATGCATATTACTGCATGTACAGTCGGGGTGGGCTGGCCATTACCACAACTTTAATCCACATTTATATACCTAGACCCAGCCACCTCTGAAAAGCCTCACCTATGCATGCACGAGGCTTTCAGAGCCATCTAGATACAAGCCATAGCACCCAGAGATTCTCTTTCGTACTATTTTCAACTAACCTCTCATCTTGTTTTCGTTAGTTGCACAAGCCAAAAAGTCTATCCATCCCTTACTTATTAAATATCACTGATATCATTTCTGTCTCAGGTCTACATTTTCAGTCTTGTTTATGTTGCTGGACATTTTCTTATAACCCTTCAATAGGATTAATATGGGAGTGTGGTTTATGCTAATGACTTGCTTATTAAATCCATAATGACAAGAATAAGTTCAATATAACAAACCAGTGACTTGATTCTAACTGCATTTCTCTGGCTCATTTTCTAAAATATGTATTAAGCAAAGGTGATATAAAAAAGCTGTGTTCACTTTAGTTTATTTCACATGATTTAACTTTTCTACATATTAATAATTTGTCTAATTTCTTGGTCTTTATAACTGGATTCATTAGCAAAACCTTGTGCATTTTGGGTAGATACCAAAAAAAGGAGTTTTGGGACTTGATTTCCTGATAGGTAGTCTGCTAGGAAGGATTTTGGCTGTGAGTAACGAAAATCTAACTGGTGGTAGATTTGTTTCATATGATGAATGTAGAGAAGGCCACATAAGAGCCAGTGATGCCTTCAGCAGTGCTAGCTTTTGGCTCTCCCCTCCTTTGGATACTGCTTTTATCCTCATAGGTTACCTGAATATTCTCTTTTGGATTTTAATATACTTAAAAACTCTGTCTATTGTATTATATGTAACTTTTCTCTTTCTTTTCCCAGCCTTTTTCTCATTGTTCTCGTCTTATCAGACATCATGGCCTTGGTAAGGTATTACTGAATGTATGACATAAATAAGGTCAAGAAACTAGGAGTTGAGTAATAAAGAAAAATATGAATTCATTTCATGAAATATTTAGATATTTAGTCCTAACTGCTGGGATAAAGACAAGCTACTTTATTAAAAAGAATTCTTCATAAAAGGTCAAAAGATTCATTATTTGATTTATTCAGCTCTATCATTTTATGCCTAGTCTTCCATATTGCTTTGTATCTGAAATAGACATTCCATAGGAAATTAACAGAAGAAACTAGGATTCACAGAATTTGCTAAACCCTGGTATATTCACAGTTATGGTTTATGACAGTAAAATGATACAGATTGAAATCAGCTAAGGGGAGAGAGAGATAAAACACGGTCTGAGATGACACCAAATGTAGAGATTCTGTTGCTTTCTTCCTGTGGAGTTACAACAGTGTTATTCTCTCTACACTCAGGTACGTAATACAATTTGAACCTACCAAACTCAATCCAGACATATGTTTATATAAGCGGTTCTCTGTCAGAAATGTACTTCCATGTCTGTCTCCCAAGCCTCCTCTTTCACTTGATTCCTGCTTTTCACAACAATTCCTTCTTTCCAACAAGAAATTTTCTCTTATACCCTTTCTTCAGTGCTTCCATAATTGCCTATATTTTCCAATGCACGTGGCTTAGTGATTATTAGTATATAATAGGTGATATCAGTAAGTATTTGTTGATGAATGGATGATACGACTTCTCCTCATTTATGTCTGGTATCTTTTATGCCTTTCATTAATTTTGGTTCCTTCTTTATTTCTAGTTGTTCACAAAAGTGTTGTGTTCATTTTATTGAATGCTAATCGTAATTCAGGTTAGACTATTGCTCATTTTAGTCCAAGCAAAGTTTTAGTATAAGCCATATTCTTGTTGATCCCAAATAGATAGTTATTCTGAAGCATCAGAAATATAAAACAGTTTTAAACCAAGTTTATTTTTTAGATTGAATTTAGGCCTTTCAAAAGGCCTAAAAATAGGCCTTTTAAATTAGAACCATGTTTTGTTATATTTTACAGCAATTTTTCTTCTTGATCAAGGATTGTGGCAGCTGGCTTGATATTGGAACAAGGTATAGTGTATATTCATATAGAAGCTACTAACACTACAGTGGAAAAAGAAAAGTTGGTATATTAATAGACAGAGTATCAGTATGATTTTGAGGTAAGCATAGCCAATAATTATTTTAAGCCTCTGGAACCAAGACATCTCTCCACTTCTTGGAATAACACGTCGGTATTTTCTTGGAATGTTGGGGAGAGGAAGAGGAAAATGGATGTTACATCTGGAAAGAAATAAAGGACAGTAGGAAGAGAGAAAAAAATTTTAATCTGGGGTTCAAATACATTGTACCAATATCCTTGTATGTTCTCTCAAATTTATAATATCTCTGAAAAACTAAGACTCTTTGGCTTGCACTATGAATTTTTTTTTGTAATTTTCATTTAAAGAGACTAAAACCAATCAAAATAAAACAGAATAAAGCCAGTCAAACCAAAACACTATAAATGACATAGGACTTTAAAACAAGATAATAGGAAATCAATGATGGTTACCATGCCTCTTGTTGTCTTCAAAATAAGCTGCCCCTACCTTAGTAAAAATAGTAAAAATCAAGCAAAATGAACAGACAGAGCAATAAAAATAAAACAATGAGCACAATAAAGGACTTCAAAGCAAAATAATAATCCAAAATGGCTACCATAATATGTCTTGTTATCTTTGAAATAGCTACCCATGCCATCAGATATAATAAAATCAGACCAGACAAAACAGAATAAAACAAAACCAAATAAAACAATGAAAATGATACAGGACTTGAAAACAAGATAATTGGGAATTAACAATATCTACCACCTTCAGAAGGAGATACTCCATAGTTGCTACATTGTGGATTGTTATCCTCTGAATAGATGATCAAACACTACCAGCGTTAAGCCTGCAAAGTAAATGAAACCCTAAACACTAAAAGCATTAAGTTGCATTTTACCTCAATAACTATCATGGCAGCCTGTATTTCTCCAGATCACCTGTCCACTTATGGGGGGGGCCTGTGCACCAGAAGAGGCTGGCATCTGGTTCTCCCCACAGTGGCCTACACATGTCGCCAACTTACAGGGAGGGCCGGGCTTCTTATTGGCTTCTTGTTTTCCTCGCCCACAGTCCATGAATGGTGCTGACTCATGGGAAAGAGCTGGTATCTGGTTCTCACATCAGCATCCTGCACGTGGTGCCAACTCGCAGGCGGGGGGCTTGGCTTCTTGTTCTGCACTATAAATTTTATGTGATGGTTTAAATTTCATACAGTCAAGCATGGTGGCATATTTATCCCAGCACTTGAGAGGATGAGTCAGGAGGATCACTGTGAATTTGAGGCAGTCTGGGCTACATAGTGAGTTCAAGGCCAACCTGAACTGCATAGTAAGACCCTGTCTCAAAAAAAAAAAAAAAAAAAAAAAAATTCAGACTGAGGTTATAGGACAGTGCCTGCCTGGCAAGCATGAGGTCCTGAGATCAATCCTTGGTACAAAAAAAAAGAAAGAAAGAAAATTTCATGTTATCACTACTTTTAGACACTTTAGTATAGGAATATTTTTAACATGTGCTCCTATAATATTGTTATTTAAAACGTAATCTGAACAAAGTCAGTTTCTTCATCATGATATAATACCAATCAAGTCTGTTAAATTTCTTTTCTTTGAGAAGAAAGTTGATTCTTCTGTCTTTTTTCCCAAATGTATTCTCAAATGGAGTACTTTTTATGGACTGATTTTATTTCATTTAGTCAATATTTGTTCTCACTTTCTGTTGCCAGGAATTGTGTAGATTTTCATGAGATTATAACATTCTCTGTCTTAGGTAGCTCACAGTTTTATAATGTGTCTTCTTTGTATTATGTATCATATATGCCTCTCCTAATAATGGTTTCTTTGCATCTGGGATCTGATTAGAATCTTGCACATGTCATATGTAGAAGGTACTTAACAGATCACTGATTTTGTTTTCCTTTGTCTCTTAAATACGAAAATTAAGGGAATGTATTGACACCTTCTCACTAGCTGCGTCATGCCAAGGTGTTCAAGCAAATAGTATGCCAGAGCGTAGGCTTAGACAGGGTGGTTAGGTTTGAATCTTGGTTCTCACTTTTTAGTTATGAGGCCATTTGTAAGTGACTTAAACTCTTAATGCCCTCATTTCTCTCAAAGTCATTTTGAATGAATAATAACCCAAGTAATGACATAGTATTTAGCATCTAATAAATATCGATAAATGTCTGTTATGACTATTGTTATTCTTTAGTTTTATTTTTAATCCTTTATAGTGTTGTATGTATTTGACATACTCTCTCCATAATTTGATTAATTTTCATTTTACACATAGGCCAGAAAACTTACTTACTTGAAAAATAGTCTAATGAAACATTTTTGTGTGAAATTTATTTTAATCATGGGCACATATACAGAACTTTTATCATAACCATTTTTAATTATTTCTACCATCTACCTCTTGAAATCTTTACATCTTACATCTTACAAAACTAAAACTTTGAACTTATTAAGCAGTAATTTTCCATTTTCCCTTCCTTATGCCCTAGCAATCAACATCCTGTTCTACTCAATGAATTCGACTATTCTGTGTACCTGTGGAGATGAAATTATAGTGTTTGCCTTTTGTTGTTTTGTTTTTCTTTTTTCTTTTCTTTTTCTAGTACTGGGGTTTGGAACCAGGACCTTCATACTAGATACAACCCCAGCCCTTTTTTAATTTTGTGTTTTGACACAGGGTCTTGTTAAGTCACTAATGTTCATTCATGATTCTGCTTATGTGTTTGTTGTTGATTTGCATTTGTCAAACTGTAATTGTGGAGTGCATGGGCATGGCAAGGCGCAGCGGGGAGGAGAGAGTGGGAGCGGGCCAAGGTTGCTGGGCCAGGCCAGTGCAAGCAAAGTGCTGAGCGAAGCCCCCATGGGTCCTGGCACGGTGCACCCGGTGCCAGTGGAATGGTGCTCCAGGGCCGCAATTCGCCCTTGCCATGGCTAAGGGCTGGCGCAGAGGATGAGGACAAGGAGTATAAGCACCATGAGCTCAGTGGTTTGCCCCAAGCCTGGGGCAGTGCGCTCTTGGGCCAGGCAACGGTAGGTCCAGCACTTGGTGCAGAAAGACATCCAGCAAACAATGAAAAATATACAGAGTTACAAGGCCTATAGAAAAGAAAGGGACGATGATCCATCCAAAACTCAAATATAGTATTTTAATAATTGTATTGATCTTTTTAACATGCTGTTGAATTCAATTTGAAAGCATGTTGTTGAGGATGTCTGTATCTATCTTCATCAGGGATACTGATATATAGTTTTTGTCTTAGTTATTTTTTACCCGTCGCTGAGACAAAATACCTGATGTCCAAGTTGGGAAAGGAAAGGTTTATTTCTTAAGGTTTTTGGAGGTTTCAGTCCACACTTAGTTGGCTCCCAGGCCGGCAGGCATGGCTGGGCAGCCTTTCATGGTGGCTGCAAACAGCAAATTCCAACTAGCAAAGAGCAAGACACACCTTCTTCCTGCTATTACATCACATCCTGGCTCCACCCCTTTGTGGGTGGAGCACTGACACCATCAAGCACTAGACAATGAACAAATAACAAATGCACAATTCAAACTCATGAGGCCTGGGGGACACAGACATAAACCATAACAGTTTTATTTTCTTGTTGTGACCTTGTCTAGTTTTGGTACAGAATGAGTTTGGAAGAGTTCCTGCCCTTTCAATTTCATGGAATAGTTTGAGAGCATTGGCATTAGTTCTTCCGTAAAGGTCTGATAAAAGTCAGCAGTAAACCCATCTAGTCCGAGACATTTCTTTGTTGGGAGACTTTTAGTTACCACTTTGGTCTCATTATTTGTAGTTGATCTAGGTAAGTTTTTTTTAATGTCCTCTTGGTTCAATTTTGGTAAATCACATTGTCTAGAAATCTGTCCATTTCTTCCATATTTTCCAATTTATTGGCATACAGTATTTCAAAATATTCCATAACAATATTATGAATTTCAGTGGTATCTTTTATAGTATCTCCTGTATCATCTCTAATTTTAAGAGCTTGGCTCTTCTGTTTCTTTTCATTAGTTTAACTAAAGGTTTGTCAATTTTACCTTTTCAAAGAACTGTTTGTTTCAGTGATCCTTTGTGTTTTTTCTCTTACAGCTGATTTTGGCTGACAGTCTATTTTGTTGGGTATAAATATAGCTACTCTCTTGATTTCAGATACCATTTGCTTGGAATTTCCCTTTCTATCAGTCTCTGTATGTCTCTGCAAAGGAGGTGAGTTTCTTTCAGGCAGAGTGTTGTTGTTGGTCTTGTTTTATATTCAGTCAGCCAGTCTGCTCTTTTAATTAGATAATTAAGAGTGTAATTATTGAGAATTATTATTGAAAGGTATATGTAATTGCCCCTATAAGTTTTTATTTTTCCTGGATTGCTTTGAATACTGCATGTTTATGTTTTCCTTAGTCATGCTAGAGATTAGATGATTTACCTTATTGATAATGTTTTCTTTTTTCCTACTTGTCATTTGCTTTTCTACTTTTCTAGTGAAATTTATTCTTTCCCATGGTCTCCTGCTCTTTTCCTTTTCTGGATGTCTAATTCCCTTAAGTAACTTTTTTTTTTTTTTTTTTTTGGTACCAGGGATCGAACTCATAACCTTGCATTTGCAGGCAGGCACTGATGCCACAGAGCTGAATCCCTGGTGACTTCTGAATACTAGTAAAGTGGTCATGAATTCCCTTAGTCTTAATTTAGGCTCATTTTGGAAGGTCTTTATTTCTCCTTTCATTCCAAGAGACAGGTTTTCTACACATAATAATTAAGATTGATGATTATTTTCTTTTAAGAATTGAAGTACATCATTCTGTACCCTTTTGGTCTTTAGAGTTTCTGCAGAGAAATCTAGTTATTTTGATGGCTTTGACTTGGAATTTCTCTGTTACACTTAAATTAGTATTCTTTGTTCTGTTCTTTTGACAGTATAACTCTAATGTATTCTGAAAAAGTTCTTTATTGGGCATGTCTTTGAAGCTCTAAATACCTCCTATACTTGAATGTTCATGTACTTCCCAAGGTTTTGGAAGTTTTCTATTGTTTAGTGAATAGATTCGGTGCCTTCATGCCTATGTTTGATCTTTTAATGGTGTCCCAGAATTCTTGTATATTCTAATCATTCTTTTTATTAATGTCTCAAGGAGATAATTCATCAACCTTGTTTTCAAGTTTTGATGTTCTCAGTACAGGGGCCCTGAGTTCAGTCGCCAGTACCACAAAAAAAAAGGGAGTAGGGAATTGAGGATGTAACTCAGTGGCAGAGGGCTTGTCTAGCAGATACAAGGCCTAAGGTTCAATCTCCAGAACCAGAAGGCTGGAGGAACCCACAAAAACAGACATGAAAGATGCAATAATTATATAGAATAAATTTTAAAACTTTAATTTTTAAAAAGGAAAAAATCAAAACAAAAGTAAAGAGGAGGACAGAAGAAAAATTAAGAACAAAAGAAAAAGGGGCTTTGTAACATTCAAGAGCTTTGTAGGGGATAGCTGTACTTCCCTTTATTGAGGAGTGGGATACATCCATATAAACCAATGAAGGTCATTACATGTAAGTTTCTCAGAGGCACTTAAGAGGGAGAGGCTGTGCCATCCTGTAGTGGGCAATAAGCTACATCTGTATTTATTGGGCCAGGAAGTTTGTTCTTGTCTGAGCAAGTTTCCAGAGAGGACACCACACAGTCTCCTTGCTGCTCGTCCTGTTTCTCAGGCTTCCAAAAATGCCCAAGCTTGGGCTTCCAGAAAGGAAGATATGCTTTGATGATTTTGAGATGTGAAGGAAGGAGGAAAACATAGTTCAGAAAAAGAAACTGTTATGGTCTGTGTCTGGATGTCCCCCAAAGCCTCATATAAGCATGTGGGCAGGATTCTAGAATTTATGATTGATTTATAATCCAGTGCTAGGATTATGGGATTATGGATGTGAGTGCTACACCTACTGTCAGGTGTATGTAGTCTACATACTATATAAGAGACAGAAAGAGTTTCCTCTCTGCACTCCTCCCTTTTGCTCTTGTTGCTTTTGCTGTCTTCCAACACCATGCATTGTTGCCCTTTGCTGCGAGCTACCCTGCCTTGGAACTAGCTGAATATGGGCTGACACTTCCACAACTATGAAATAAATAAACCTTTCTTCCTTTAAATTTAGGTGTTGGGTATTTTGTACCAGCAAAGAGAGAAAAGTATCTAAAACAAGAACATTATCAGATGAAGAAAATACAGATGATTCTGAAGTTCCATCTTCATCAGAAATGAACTCTACTTGTCCCAGATCAATAATGTCAGTGAAGGAGAAGCATCAGTGGTTCAAAATGTTTGCCTCTTTGTTTGGGGAGACTAAAGATGATAAGGAGGAAGAAAAAGAGACACCTGAGTAACCCACAGCAGGCAATGAGAAGACACTTCCAAGCAAAATTCCCAGACCCCTAAGCCCTGGGTGACACTAATGTCTGCTTTGTTGCAAGGAAAATGAGAAGAGGCAATACTGATGTGGGTAGAAATCAGAAGACAAGCTCCTCTGGCTTATGAACCATTTTCTCCCCTTGCCATGATTCATGAGGACAAGGTGACATGGAAAATTCCTTGAGGTTTGGATTGATTGCTTCATGTTTAAATCCCAGGGACATTATAGAGTGGTATAGACTGGCCAAAATATCTCTGGAACAAGACAAAATTAAGTAGATTATTTTTTCCTATACTAAAGTTCTTAAATATAAACCTATTAATATCCATTTTCTATGGGAACAATCAAGTCTGTATGAACAATTGGGTGATTATAATATGACAATGGACAGGTACAGGCTTATCTGAAACCTTTTACATGAGTCTGATGGAAAAAAGTTATAGATATGCCCAAGAATTACTATGAAGTCAATGATAGTACTTCATCTATTAGCATATTCAAAAAGGCTTTCACCAGACACCAGGCCCTGGTCTGCATGGAGGATGACACCCACACAGCCAAGCTATGTAGATAGTATGGCAGAACATTGGTGGTAATTATGAATTTTTCTGGAATTGTAGTAGAAAAAACTTCAGAAGAAGTCAGCACCTTAAAAGAGTAAGGTTATAGTTTCCTTTATATGGGACAGTGTTCATAGAGCTCTCTTGTTCAAAATGTGCTTTTTGGATTGGTGGTTATGTTCTCACAGCTACTATATCCAAGAAGCAGTTTTTCTCCAAGAGATTTGGTGGGGTTGTGTGTGTGTGTGTGTGTGTGTATGTGTGTGTGAGAGAGAGAGAGAGAGAGAGAACTGCTTGCTTTTAAACAAGAAGAAAGAAAATATCTTATTTCTCCATTAATTTTGAAAGATATTTTCATGACAAAGAACAACTGAAGGACTTCATGACTACCAAACCAACCTTACCAAGAGCGCTGAAGGATATTCTAGAGAGAGATGAAGATATCATAGTTCCAGGAGCAGTAGCAGAAGGAGATCGCTGAGCAGGGCAGTCAGTTGAATGGAGGGGGAAAAGTGGGAGACCAATGGCAGGAGGATAACATGGTAGAAATGAGCTAGTACATACCAATTTTAACCATTAATGTGGATGGTCTCAAATCATCAATAAAAAGAAATACAGGCAGAGTGGATCAGGAGACAGGATTCAACAATATGCTGTATACAAGAAACACATTTGGCTCAAAAGAAAATTCATGGACTGAAGGGCAGAGGAGACAAAGCAGTACTCTATGTGACAGGGACCCAGAAAACATCAGGGATAGCTTGCCCATCAACTGTGGAATGGATAGGAAAGATATGGTATTTTTATACAATGGGAAGCTGCTCAGCTATATAGAAGGATAACCTAAAGGCTTTTGTAGGTTAAGATCATGCTCATGAGTGAAATGATTTGGACTCACATCATTTTGTTTCCCTAGTATAAAAAATTGAAAGAGTTAGTGGGATCCAAAATATACAATAGATACTACCATGGTGAAAGGGGAGGAAATGTCTAAAAAGGGAAGGTGGTAGCCATTGTGAATTTCCTATTATCTTGTTTTGAAGTCCTGTATCATTCTCATTGTTTTGTTTGGCTTTATTTTGTTTTGTTAGATTCTACTATGTCTGATGGTATAGGCAGATATTTTAAAGATAACAAGATATATTATGGTAGCCATTGTTGATTTTGTATTATTTTGTTTTGAAATCCTGTATCACTTTCATCATTTTGTTTTGATTGGTTTCATTCTATTCTGTTTTGTTTGATTTTATTATGTCCTATGGTATGGGAGCTATTTTGAAGATAACAAGAAGCATTATGGTAGCCACTGTTTATTTCCTATTCTGTTTTGAAGTCCTATATCATTCTCATTGTTCTTCTTTTTTTTTTTTTTTTTTTTTTTTTGGCTTTATTCTGTTTCACTTTTTTGGTCTTTATTCTCTTTAAAATAAAATTTTAAAAAAAAAGGAAAGGGGAAAGCAGGATAATGGGGAAAAATGTAAATTTTAAAAGGAGAAGAAAAGACAGAATACATACATCAGTAACTTTAAAAATATTAGTGTAAAATAAAAATTTCCTCACTACTGAGGTATCCTATTGTATGGGCCTAAATGGATGTTCACAACCTATATTAGGCTCACTTTTCTGGGTTTTATTAGGCTATATCCTTCTTAATAAGCAGCCTCAACTACCTTGTAGCGATTCTCCCTGTAGAGAACTAAATGTGGCCTGTTACCTCTACTCTAACATTTTATGACCTTTTGATCTTATGTCACATGTCTCTGATATTTTTAGTAATGTTTTAAATTTATGCTCAATAAGCAGCAACATAAACAAACTAATTCATGCTAGAAAAATAACCATCACAACCCCTGAAAGAGTGGAATTGATTGCTCTAATAGGTGAGTAAGAAGGTATGAGAATTTGTTACTTTTATTATAAACCTTTCTCAGAGCTATTATTTTGCTTCTTTAGTACTGCATTTATGACTGTGATAAAAATTAAAGGGAAAATGAATAAATAAATTTGAGGCCAAGAAGCAGAGTTCTAAGTTTAGCCATTCAAGCTTAATTAGAAAGAGGAGGAGAAATATAGAGAAGTATTTGCATGGAAATACTATCCTACCTCTCTATAAGAGAAATTTCATATTACTAATAGCCATGAAGAATATTATAGTTGAAGAGAATAAATGTCTTTTCTTCATTAATTTTAAATACTGTGTATTAAAGTGATACTCTGGAAGCATCATGTGAGGCCCAAATAGAGTAAGTCGGTTCACATCTTGAAATAGAGATAAAGAACTATACGTAAGGTCAGGGCAAGGTTATGTGTTACATACCTAACATTGAACTACATCTCCAGTTCATTTTACTTTATTTTGAGACTATGTCTCACTAAGCTGCAGGGTTGGCCTCAAGTCCATTTCCTTAAAGTCCATTTCCCTCAACCTCCCCAAAAGCTGGAATACAGGCGTGTGATACCACAATCAGGTATTTGTGACTGTAGCAAAGGGATCATTCACTGCAAAGTATTGAATAATACAAATTTGGGGCTTCAAGGAGAAACAAATATTGACTATTAAGGAAACGGGCCACAATGAAGACACCTTAGGTGAGAAAAGTATTGGGTTTGATATACAGGACAAGAGTCCAGTCTCCAAAGAAAAACTACTGAAAAACAGTAATGAAGTAAAAAACAACTATCTGATAGAAGAAGGCTGTCACAGAGCACACAGGCTGTAACAAATGGGTACTGCCCATTGTGCACACTACCCAACTGCACAGTAGACCAGGTAGTCAGAAGATAGAAACAGTGAATATGACATCTGTGGTTGAGAAGGAAACCTTGTGACATAAAGAAGACCATTACTAGCAGAGTTAAAAGCTGTGGTTAAAGAAACCCATGGTAGCAGTATGCTGCTACATCTTTAAAGCTTTGTGGCCTAGGACTTTTGCTAGGGTTATAGAAAGCAAAGGGAAAATTTAATAAGCCGTGATGAAACGTGATAACCATAGCAAACTCCTCACAGAAATCCTCCTTAGCTGCATCATTGGAACACTTAATTCATGACCTTTCCCCCTATTTAATGTATTTTACACCTTCTTTTAGCAGCTGTTTATTGACCAGTGACTATAGGCCTATCTCTCTAATTATATTCATTCTGTTTCCTTATTCAGTTTCCCTCAGCTGATTAACCCATCTCTCTTTGTTCATTGTGGATTTAATATTCAATATTATTTTTCCTTTCTGTCACTTTTAATCTTTCATCCCAAACTTAACTAACAGAGTACTCTCCTCAGCACCAAACAATTTATCTTTTCTTTTCAGACTTCTCTAATAATACAGTTTGAATTTAAAAATAAAAACAAAGGGAGGGAGGGAGAGAGAAGGTATGGACATACAAGTTATATATGACACAAGTTGAAAAATGTATGATGATAGTAGCAGGTAGCACATAGTACGGGTCTGTATCAGTGGTGATGAACTTACGGCACACATGCTGCAGCGGCCTGTTTGTATCACTGAAAGCACCAGAAAGTTCACCATCACTGGGCTATATGAATACAGAAAGAAAGTCAGTCTCTAGTAACAGAAAACATTTGTAAGGACTGGCGTTTGAACTGCATCTTGAATGAACATACAATTTCAACATGGGGTCTTAAAGGTTTGGAAAAAATGTTTTAGATGACAGAATGAATGTGAACAAAACTAAAAAAGTAAAAATAACCTAATGCATATGTATAATCATATGTGATATATGAAAAGGAATTTGGACTTTGAAGTACTTAAGTTTTAGAAAAAAAATTTCTGGAAAATACCTTCTGTCAGGCTTGATGTGGTAAATGTCAAATACAAAATTACACTGTATATTCTATTTGCATGTAGAGTGCCCTATACTTTGGAGAAGTTTAAGTATTTTAGATGTTATTAAGTGAAAGATTGCCAGGAGTTAAGAGTCCTGTCTTTTTAGTCGTTTAGTCTCTAGAGTAGGGAAGGAAGTAGAGAACATGTGCCTAGTAATAGAGGGGCAAATTCAACTTGCACAGTCAGGATCATTGCAGTGTCATTATGTCTACCCTGGCAAGCAATCTTTAGTTCTCATTAATATTTTTTTAATACTTTAAGGTCAGTATGTACTGGAAGGCATAATTTTTTACTATGTTTTTCAAGGTAAGGCTTCCCAGACTACAGTGATGTTGCATGACCTTTCACCATGTTGTGGTAATTAATATTATTTTTAAAACTCTGAGATGTGTTAAATTGAACATTTATTTGAAAAAGAAAAAAAGCCATAGAACCGGGCAACATTCCAGACTGAAAGTAGTTCAGAATGCCAAGCCTCACCACCTGTGCACCTTATATTTATAGCTCAAGAAAAAGAAGTGACATGCAGTGACCTGATTGGTTGCAGTTAGCATTTGTCTTACATGGGCATGATGTGATGAAGCGTTTACCTTATAAAACATGATCTGGTTAGTTGGCAGCTTGTGATTGGCTGAAACTCAACAGTTGTGATTGATTGACACTCAATAGCTGTGAGTGATTAATATTCATAGTCTGTTACAAGAATACACACTTGGTAAATTTGCAATTTGTGTATTTACCAATCTAGATTGTAGTTCATCACTACAAATGGAAGCAGCTT